CCTCTGTGGAATCGGTGGCTTCCCCCCGTACCCTGATACCACCTTGACTTAATGCACAGTGGAGGAGGTTTTGGCTTCACAGTGGTGCACATGCACACACATGCACATGCACACACACTTGCAGACATGCATACATGCACACAAACACACATACACATACACCCCACAGATGCCCAGACATGCACACATACATAAACACACATACATAAACACGCATGTATGTTTGCATTCATGTTTATATACATGTACAATATATGTACAATATACATGTTTGTATGCATGTACAATACACACACATAACCCCACATACATGCACACATATGCCCATGCATGTGCCCAGACATGCACACACATGCATGTATGCATACACACACGCACACACATGAACACACACATGCCCAGACATGCATACAAGCACACATGCACACATGTGCCCACACATGCACATGAACATACACATACACACAAATGCCCCCACACATGCCCGGACACGACACACAAACACACTTGCATGCACACATATGCACACACACATAAACACACATACATGCACACATATGCCCACATACACCCAGGCATGCATGCAAGCACACATAAGCACACATACATGCACACGTATGCCCACACATGCACGTGAACACACATACACACACATACATGCACACATGTGCACACGGCCACTGAGGCCCAGCTTTCAGTGCAGCATTCACTAAAGCACACGAGCTCTTCCACGCTTTGTCACAAAGCAGACTTAGTGCTAGGTGCTGTCACTGGCTGTGGGCTGTGGGTGGCCACCCTTGCTGGAGAGGCTGGGCTGGGCCAGGTGCGGGGTGGGAGTGGCTGGAGCGCTCTGACCGTCGCTGTACCTGGAGCCTGGGTTCTGCACTGAGCCAGGCGTGGGGCCTGCGGCTGCTGCCCTGGGCTCACACGGGTCTCCTGCGTTCTGAGTAATCTGACATCACACAGAGCAACTTGAGGCTTCGTTTGCAATTGCATTGGATTTTTGCATTCAGTTGGGTGAAAATGCATGTTTTCCAGACATTGAGGTTTCTTCCTCCCTAGGAACAGGCTGCAGTTCCTTGTTATGCAGCTTTTCTATCATTTTGGGGATTAAATTTCACACGTTTCTTCGTAAGAGCGACAGGGACCTGTGACACCTGTCCCTGGGTCCTGTGTCGTAGGGCCGATACTTCCAAGGCTTTGGTGGATTCGACCATCACAAACCACTCACCTGCACGTCCTGCCGACTTCTGTGCGGACGGCCACGCGACCTGCAGAGAAGCATGGCCTGGTCTCTGCTCTGTAGTCCGCCCGACGCTGGCTTGTCCTCCTGTCGCGGTGCGGCCGGGGCCCTGGGCTCTTGGCTCCACGTCACCCTGAGCGTGGTGCTCGGGACGGCTCTTGGAAGCAGAAGCTAGGGTTTCCCTAACTGCGGAGTTTCCACAGATTTGTCACCAGTGGGTCTTGAAAGGCCCTACTTTTCCAGTTTAATCTGGTGCGTGCCGGGCGGCAGCCCTGGACGCCCCCGCGGGTTCCAGCCACTGCACAAGTGAGCTGGGAGTTTCTCTCTCTCCCTCTCCCTCTCTCCCTCTCTCACCATGCCTCCCTCTCCTTTTCCCATCCTGCCAGTTTGTGTGAGATTGAAATTACCTTTGTTTCCAAGTGTTTGCTAGAACTCACTTGTACAAAGTGTCTGAGTCTGCTGCCTTATTATTATTATTTTTTTTTTGGTGGGAGGAATAGATTTTGTTTTTATAACATTTATCTTATTTATTTGAAAGACAGAGTTACATAGAGAGAGAGAGATTTTCTATCTGCTGGTTCACTCCCCAAATGGCCACAATGGCCAGGACTGGCCAGGTGGGAGCCAGGAGCCAGGAGCTCCTTCCGGGGCTCCCATGTGGGTGCAGGGACCCAAGCACTTGGGCCTCCTCTGCTGCTTTCCCAGGCCACAGCAGGGAGCTGGATCGGAAGTGGAGCAGCCGGGATTTGAATGGGCGCCCATATGGGACGCCCGCTAAGCCGCAGCCCCGGCCCCTATTTTTCTTTCTACTGGGGGTCTTCACGAAGTTTACAGAAAATGGAATTAGAAGACATTAGAAGGCGTATACGCTTCCACGAACTTTTTGAAGACCCCTGGTGTCGGCTTGTTAATGAGCCCTGGCGATGAGGATGCGGGTCCTGGACCGGATGGAGACGCCGGCCCCGGCCGCCCCGCGCTGTCCACCTGAGGTCGCCGCTGTGGGCGCGGCGCAGCCTTCTACTCGTGGGCTGTTGTTGCGGCCGCTCCCCCCGCCTCGCTCCTCAGCGCCCAGCGAGCTCCGTGGCCCTCTGCCTGCGGTGTGAGGAGCTCGTGGGTGGGCGGTGGATGTGCGTGAGCTCTCGTGGGCTGTGCATGGCTGCTCTCCCTGCCTGGGTCCGTTCAGGCCGCGACGGTGAAGTGTGGACCGCGTGGCGCAGGTGCGGCAGGAGGCTGCTCCGCAAGGTTCTGGGGCCTGCGCGTGCACGCGGGAGGCAGGCGCAGCGCGCGTGTGCACGCGGGAGGCAGGCGCAGCCTGGCGAGGCCTGCGCTCCTAGCATGGGGTCCCCAGCACAGCTCCGCCCCCGGCGCCGACCCTGTCGGGGTGAGGGTTCGTGTTTCCGTCGCCCGTGGGCCTTGGGCCCTGTGGCCGCGTCCCGCGTGTGTCTGACTCCGCGCGCCGCCCTGCGTTCCTGCTTTCTGTGGCCTTCCATTTTCTGTTTTCCGCGCCCGGACCCCCGTGCGCTGACACCGTCCTGGGCTGTGACCACCCTGTGGCGTTGCTGGTGGCGGCTGCTGTGTCAGCTCCCACCTGATTCGGCTCCGTGGGCTCCGGGCCTCTGCCCCCAGCTCCTCGGCCTCCTCTCTGTAAGGGACCGCTCAGGCCTGGCCTCCCGCGCCCTGCAGCCCGGGCCCCCCCCCCCCCCCCCCCCCCCGCCGAGGTCCCGGGGCTGGGTCTCAGCGCCAGGAGCTCTCGGCCGCGGGGCTTCCGGGGGAGGCCACCAGGGGCTCCCCTCAGCCGTCTGGGCCTCTGCGGTGGTCTCCGTCCCTGGGCAACTGCTTGCATGCGGGAAGACTGCAGGCCCCCTGCCCGCGCCCCTGCCTGGACTGCAGATGGCTGGGGGCGGTGCCACTGTCCCCGCAGCCCCTCCCCACTGCTCTGCGGCTGGGCTTGGGCCCCCGATTTCTTCAGCACTTTGTCCTGCTCCTGGGATGGGGGAGTGCTGGCCCAGTCCCCGCCCCACGCCGCGGTGACGCATCCAGTCCCCGTGCTCTCCCCCTGCATGGGCCGGCCCGCGTCCCCACCCCCGCCCTCCCTGGCCACCCGAGCTGCTGTCCTGCCTGTGTCCACCTCTCTGTGCGGCCTCCCGCAGGCCCCCTCCCCCACCCAGCCTTTGGAGCTGCCCACGGCTTTGCAGCCCTGAGTGACAGCTGCTGGGGGCCCGCCCCTCTGTTCTTTACAAAAGTCTCCTCGGCACCCCCTGGGGCCATGGCCGCTGGGCCACCGGAGTGCACACAGCTGCCTGTGGGGGTCATGCACTTCTGGGGACGCCGCTACCCGCCTCCATAACTGTTTCCTGTCACTTCCGGTTGCTCCTGGGTCGGCACTCGGGTTCCCCAGAGGCTGGAGGCCTGCCGCGGGCGTCCTCACCTGGGTCCTCACTCTTTCTCCTCCCGGCCTGGCCCACGGGCCTCGGACGTCCTCCAGTCTCAGTGCTGAGATTTTGCAACACGACATATGGGGGTCTCAGAGGGGCTGTCCCCTCACCTGGTGCGGGCTGGCCCCGTGGACCGGTGGGGGGGCAGACGGAAGCCTGCAGCGTGGCTGAGAGCGGCCGTGGTGGGGCGGCCAGCAGGAGTCCAGCCCCCACCGGCTTTTGCTCCCAGCAGGCACTGGGCGGCCTGGCACCTCTCCTCCCGGTGGCCCCTCAGAGCCCTTTGCCGGGGTGGGGGAGGGGTGGTCAGTCCTGGCCGGATCCAGCTGGTCTGCAGGGTTTGGGGCCAGGGCACTGCCCGGCGGGGTCTGGGACTGTGGTGCCCCCTCGCCCGCTGCAGGGACAGCTGTGGGCCAGGCCGTCCTGAGGACCAGGCAGGTGTGAGTCCCTTGGAACCTCAGGTCCAGCCTTTGTTCCACTTGGATGCCCCTAGTGACGGGGGGCTCACCACGTAACTACGTCCACATCCGCTCAGAGCGCTGGGTGGGAGTCTGAGACTGTTAGCCGGAGCTCTGGCTGCTCCGGGGCTGAGCGTGCTCCTCGCCCTGCGCCCGAGGACCCTGCCCAGCCGTGGCTGCCCGGCGCTCTGGGGGACGCTCCTGCAGCCTTCCTCGGGGTCCCAGGTCCTGCGAGGCGAAACCACCGTGAGGTCAGACCTGTGCACCGGGGGCTGAGTCACAGCCAGGACAGCGGCGGGGCTGGGGCTGACGCTGGACCCAACCCCCGGCTGCCGGGACCCGCGGGCTGCCCCCCCCCCCCCCAGCCTCCTCTCTGCTGCGGCGGGAATCAGCCCCGGTGAGATGCTGGACACATTCTGTCCCATTGCTCGGCCTACGCTGACGCAGAGGTGGCTCCCGGTGGACGGCCGGGAGGGAGGGTGTGACCGGACACTCAGAACGTCCTGGCATTTTGGTCTTGAGCCAGCACTCGCTGTTGTGGCCTGGTACAGCCCTGGCGTGGGCCACTTCCTCCCAGCACAGCCCTGCCCTGGGCCACTTCCTTGCGGCACAGCCCTGGCATGGGCCACGTTGTCCACTTGAGCCACTCCTGGAGAAGTTGGCCTGGGTTTGAAGGTCACCCTCACAGTCACTGCGGGGACATCCTGGCATTTGCCGGGCCCTGGCTTTGCAGGTTGTAGGAGGGTCACCTGGGCCCCGCCTTGTGGCTCACCTGTGGCTGCCTGACCTCAGGTCCTGGCCCCAGAGGGGCAGGAAGGGGTGGACTCAGCCCCTTAGATTCTGCTCCTAATTCCTGTCCCTCCCCAGGTATCTCCTGCCCCTGCTGGGAGTGACCGACCGAGGCCGCAGAGATGGCCGGGGCCTCCGTGAAGGTGGCGGTGCGCGTGCGCCCCTTCAACTCCCGGGAGATGAGCCGCGACTCCAAGTGCATCATCCAGATGGCTGGCAGCACCACCAGTGAGTACGGCCACCCTGGCCGGCCTGGCGCCTCCTGGCCCCGCCCGGTGCGGTGTGGTGTCCTGGGGCAGCCAGAGCAAACAGCCGCCTACTGGGGGCTCCAAAGCCAGAAATTCACTCTCAGTTCTCAGGGCGTCAGCAGGGCCGGGCCCAAGGCTCGGGGGAGGAGTCCCTGGCTTCCTGTGGCTTCTGGCAGCCCCTGGGAGCCCAGCTCTGGTCCTACCTCTCCTGGCACGTGGTCTCTCCTGTGTGTGTCCCTGTAAGGGCACAGCTGTTCTGTAAGGACCTGGTTAGTGCACTGGGGGCCCAGCCCACCCCAGCGTGTCCTCACCTGAGCAGCCGACCACGTCTCTGCTCGTGGACTGTGGTGCAGGAGCCGGGGGCCGCCGTGGGGTCTTGGTCCCTGGCGTCTGTCTCAGGTGGGAGGCCTGTGGTAACCATGATGAATGGGGCGGGGGGGCGGTGACTTCCAGGGGTCAGGGTGATGCACCTGTGCCGGGGGCCTCTGGACACAGGGTCCCAGCGCTGAGGCAGGAGAGGGCGGGCTGGCCCCAAGCTCGCTCCCTCTCAGGGTCAGTCTCCTCGCTGCCCAGGCGCTTGGTCTCTCTGTCTCTCTGTCTCTGTCTCTGTCTCTCTGCCTCTGTCTCTCTGTCTCTCTCTGTCTGTCTGTCTCTCTCTCAGGGATCAGTCTCCTCACCACGCCCCACGCGCTCTTTCTCAGGCTCAGTTCTCTGCGATGTGATGTGCGGGGGCGGGGGGGTGGTCACGGTGAGCCCTCTCACGCTGGGCGCCGCGGTCACCTGCACCTAGACCAGGGCGGAGCATCCGTCCCCCTCAGCCCCTCCCTGCCCTGCTTCCCTGGCTGGCCGGCCTCGGGGCCCTGTGAGCTGGACCGTGTCAGGGTCACTGCAGCTATGGGCATCACAGGACCTGGGGGCCAGGTGTTGCCTCCTGCAGCGCTGCGGGGTGGGCTCAGCCAGGCCTGTGCCGGGCTCCCTCGGCTGCTGTCATCTTCGGGACAGGACCTCCTCCCAGAGGCCCTGCCTCCAGAGGCCATCCGGGGGCTGGGGGTGGGGGCTTTGCCCGGGACTTGGCTTCAGTCCCCAGCAGGCCTCGCAGGTGACACGGCCAGGCCCTGTGCAGAGCGCAGGGCCCCGTGTGGTGCTGGGCCTCGGAGCTCTGACTGGAGCAGGCAGGCAGGAGGGGGCGGGAGCCTCTCCCTAGGAGGCCAGGTTTCTCCCCTCACTCCTTCATCCCAGGCGGGGGTTGGGGGGCTGCCTTCCTGTCCCTTCCCAAGGCTCCGAGGTGCTGGTGGGACGCCAGCTCAGGGGCAGGGGCTGGGGCCGTGTGGCCTGGGAAGGGGCCGGCCCCTCTGCAGCTCAGGGCCCCGTGTGCAGTGAGAGTGTGGAGGAGGACCCAGTTGGTGGGGGCAGAGGGCCGGTGAGTTCCAGGCCCAGGGTCCTCGTGGCCCACGCCCTCTGCTCGACCCCTCCCTGCTCACTCACTGCTGCTACCCGCAGAGTACTGCCCACCCAGCCCTCCCTGGGCACGGCCTGGCCCTGGGGGCCCCCACACTTGGGAGCTCAGGGCCCCTGTGGGGCTACAGACCCCCAGTCAGGACCCCCGACTGGGCTGCAGCCATGGTGGAAATGGGGACCCGGTTGGGGTCTGGTCCCGCCCGGGGTTCCGTGGCCACGGTGCCGGGGGTGGAGAGCCGAGGTGGGCAGACGTGGGTGTCGGTGGCACCCTGTCTGCCGCAGACCCAGGGAGAACCCTGCCGCCGGTGCTGGGGCTTGGCTTCTCTGGGGGCCAAGCCCTCCGTGTCCTGCCTTGGGGGACGTGGACCTGGGCTGCCGGCACCATCACGACAGCACTGAGCACCTGTCTGTGTGTTCTCCTGCAGCCATCATTAACCCCAAACAGCCCAAGGAGACGCCCAAGAGCTTCAGCTTTGACTACTCCTACTGGTCACACACCTCGGTAAGCCAGGCCCTGCCCCATCACACACCTCGGTGAGCCAGGCCCCGCCCCATCACACACCTCGGTGAGCCAGGCCCCGCCCCATCACACACCTCGGTGAGCCAGGCCCCGCCCCCATCACACACCTCGGTGAGCCAGGCCCCGCCGCCGTCATGCACCTCGGTGAGCCAGGCCCCGCCCCATCACACACCTCGGTGAGCCAGGCCCTGCCCCATCACACACCTCGGTGAGCCAGGCCCCGCCGCCGTCATGCACCTCGGTGAGCCAGGCCCTGCCCCATCACACACCTCGGTGAGCCAGGCCCTGCCCCATCACACACCTCGGTGAGCCAGGCCCCGCCCCCATCACACACCTCGGTGAGCCAGGCCCCGCCCCCATCACACACCTCGGTGAGCCAGGCCCCGCCGCCGTCATGCACCTCGGTGAGCCAGGCCCCGCCCCATCACACACCTCGGTGAGCCAGGCCCCGCCCCTGTCATGCACCTTGGTGAGCCAGGCCCCGCCCCGGACCCCAGGGCCCCTGGATCCCGCTGCCTGCCTTTGGCCGAGGCCTAGCGCGATCCTTACTGACAGTGTTTGTGGCCACACAGTCAGCAGCTCTGTGCCCGCAAGGATTTGCCTTGCCTGAGCAGGGCCAGCCCAGTGACTCGTGGGCTTGTGTGGCCGCGGGCCGGATGTCCCCCACCCCGGTTCTGGAAGGATGCAGGCGCCCCGAGTCCACCTCCTCCACGGCTGTGAGCGCCTGTCGCCCACTTCTGCCTGCCCCGTCCAGTCTGCCCTGTCCCCAGGGTGACTCCCTCAGTGCCCGTGGGCCTCTGGGCCTCCAGCCCCAGTGCTCGTCGCCTTGTGTGCAGCTGTCAGCTCTTGAGCTCGCATCTCTGGGCCTATGCACATGCTGTTCCCGCTGGGGGAACGCCCTTCCGCCCTCCCCTGCTCGGCAACCCTCACTTGTGACTCAGGGGCCCCCTCCTCCCGGGAGACCCCCGGGCAGGGTGGGAGTGAGGGGCAGGCGACCCCCAGCCCCCTGCAGCCACGGCCTCCTCCCCCACAGCCCGAGGACATCAACTATGCCTCGCAGAAGCAGGTGTACCGGGACATAGGCGAGGAGATGCTGCAGCACGCCTTCGAAGGCTACAACGTGTGCATCTTCGCCTACGGGCAGACGGGCGCCGGCAAGTCCTACACCATGATGGGCAAGCAGGAGAAGGAGCAGCAGGGCATCATCCCACAGGCACGGGCGGGCGGGGGCTGCGGGGGCTGCGGGAGGGGCCTGGCCTCGGCCTTGCCCGGCACCATCGCGAGCACCAGGCGGCCACTGGGGAGCTGCCGGCTCGGTGTCTGGTGGTCAGGGCAGGAACGGGTGCCCAGGGCAAGGGTGACCAAACGCCAAGGTGTGGCCGGCTCCTAAGAGCAGCTGGAACCTATTCCCCCTGCCCAGTCCCTGGGGGTCTCTGGCTCTGAGCCGGTCAGCACTCGGCCAGGGCGGGGAAGGGAGACCCCTGGGGCTGTGGGGTGAAGGGCAGGTCCATGGGAATGAGTGCCCCGGGGCGGCAGGTGTTGCGGGCTCCTGGGCTCAGGCCTTCTCAGTGCCTTCAGGGTGGGGCGGACGTGTGTGGTGAGGGTGGGGAGGGGCTGGGGGAGAGCACCCACTGGGGAGGGCTCTGGGGGTGGTGTGCGGGGTAGTACCGGGCATGGTACCCAGGGTGGGCTCTGGGGTGGTACTGGGCATGGTATCTGGAGTGGTATCCTGGGTGGGCTCTGGGGTCATACTGGGGTGGTATCAGGTTGGTATCCAGTGTGGGCTCCGGGCTGGTACTGGGCATGGTGTCCAGGGAGGGCTCTGGGGTGGCACTGGCCATGAGCTCCATGTAGCCCCCTTGGTGACGGCGTGTCCGTGCCTGCAGCTCTGTGAGGATCTCTTCTCTCGGATCAATGACACGACCAACGACAACATGTCCTACTCCGTGGAGGTAGGGTCCGCCCGCGCCGGCCCACGGCCAGGGCTGGGGAATCCCAGGTGTGGTTGATGATGCTTTTCTGACTTTGGATGACCGGCCTGGCCCTCACCCTGGCCTGGTGACAGCCACGCCGGCATCTCGCGGAGCCGCGGAGCCACAGGGCGGCCCTTGCTCACAGGTGTTTGTCCGGCGGTTACTCCGGCATCCAGGCCGGGGCCTGGAGAGCAGCATGGCCTAGCTGTGCTGGGCTGAGGTGGCCCTGGTGTGACCACATTGGGCCAACACTGGGGAGTGAGTCCCAGGATGGTGTGGGCGGAACACTGAGCAGGTGGGAGGGGGCTGACCCCCCTGCTTCTCACAGCAGGCAGGTGCTGTGGCCCCAGAGGCACCCGGAGCCTCTGCCAGCCTCCCCTTGCCCCGCAGGGCAACCTTATACCCCACCCAGGGTCCCCATGGTCTGCTCCCTGCACCCCCACCCCAGGGGTCCCCATGGCCTGGTCCCCTCACCCCCACTCAGGGGTCCCCGTGGCCTGGTCCCCTCACCCCCACCCAGGGTCCCCATGGCCTGCTCCCTGCACCCCCACCCCAGGGGTCCCCATGGCCTGGTCCCCTCACCCCCACCCAGGGTCCCCTGGCCTGCTCCCCTCACCCCCACCCAGGGGTCCCCGTGGCCTGGTCCCCTCACCCCCACCCAGGGTCCCCTGGCCTGCTCCCCTCACCCCCACCCAGGGTCCCCGTGGCCTGGTCCCCGCACCCCCACCCAGGGTCCCCATGGCCTGGTCCCCTCACCCCCACCCCAGGGTCCATGTGGCCTGGTCCCCTCACCCCCACCTCAGGGGTCCCCGTGGCCTGGTCCCCTCACCCCCACCCCAGGGTCCATGTGGCCTGGTGGTCCCCTCACCCCCACCCAGGGGTCCCCGTGGCCTGGTCCCCGCACCCCCACCCCAGGGTCCATGTGGCCTGGTGGTCCCCTCACCCCCACCCAGGGGTCCCCGTGGCCTGGTCCCCGCACCCCCACCCAGGGTCCCCTGGCCTGCTCCCCTCACCCCCACCCAGGGGTCCCCGTGGCCTGGTCCCCTCACCCCCACCCCAGGGTCCCTGTGCCCGCTCCCTGCACCCCCACCCAGGGTCCCTGTGCCCGCTCCCTGCACCCACACCCAGGGTCCCCTGGCCTGCTCCCTGCACCCACACCCAGGGTCCTTGTGCCCGCTCCCCGCACCCCCACCCAGGGTCCCCTGGCCTGCTCCCTGCACCCCCACCCAGGGTCCCCTGGCCTGCTCCCCGCACCCCCACCCAGGGTCCCCATGCCCACTCCCTGCAGGTCAGCTACATGGAGATCTACTGTGAGCGCGTCCGTGACCTCCTGAACCCCAAGAACAAGGGCAACCTGCGGGTGAGGGAGCACCCGCTGCTGGGGCCCTACGTGGAGGACCTCTCCAAGCTGGCTGTCACCTCCTACAACGACATCCAGGACCTCATGGACTCAGGGAACAAGGCCAGGTGTGTGCGGGGTGGGGAGACCTGCAGAACCCCCTGCCCCCACCCTCACCGCCGCCAGGTCTCCCGAGGGAACCCTGCCTTCTCCTCTGGCCTGGCCCTTGGGGCACCTGTCAGTGTCCTGGTGGACTCTGTGCCAGCCCCAGGGAGGCCCGGGGCAGCCCCTGCATGTCTCCCGGGCTGGTACAGCTGCGTCTGTCCAGCTGCCTAGGCTGTCGTCTGTCCCCAAGGGCAGCTGTCCCGCCAGGACTGGACTGTGTGGGGCCAGTTTGCTGGACCTTCTTGGGGTGTTGGGTGGCCCCAGGGGAGGGGCCAGTTGCTGCTGAGTGAGGGTGAGGCCATCACCTGGGTCAGTGTTGGCCCCTGGGTGGTGGAGGGGGCGTCTCACTCCTCCCAGCGGCCATGTGTGGGCGCTGTTCTGACAAGGGTCAGGTGGTCACTGCGGCCTCCTGTGCCGGGTGGGGAGGGGGGTGTAGGGTACCAAGGGCTGTCGCTCGCAGGCCCAGGGAGACTGCTGTGAGGGCCCTGGCAGGCCAGGCAGCCCTGGCGCTCATGACAGCCGCAGTGCTGAGCCTTGTCACCCTGGGGTGGGGCTCCTGCATCACAGTGGGCTCCTTGGGCTCCCCAGGGAGGCAAGGGAGACCTCCTTCTCTTCTGGGGCCACTCAGGGTCTCCTGCCCAGCGACACCTGGGCATCACTGAGCCTCTGGGAGCCCCCAGTCACTCCCCCCACAATGAGCGGGGCCTGGGCTGGGGTTGGGAACCTCACAGTAGGAGGCGGTGCAGCTCTTGCCTGAGTGCTCGCGGGGACACAGTCACTGCCAGGCCGGGCAGGGGAGCCCTGGGAGAGGCCTGTGACCTGGTCCCCTGGGCTGGACTGCCAGCGACTCTGGTGCCCAACGGCTGGATGAGGGGCAACCCCGTGTGGCTTCCTGTTTGCAGGACGGTGGCCGCCACGAACATGAACGAGACCAGCAGCCGCTCCCACGCCGTCTTCAACATCATCTTCACCCAGAAGCGCCACGACGCGGAGACCAACATCACCACCGAGAAAGTGAGCGCGTGGAGCAGCCTTGCGGGGCAGGGGCCAGGGCAGTGGCCAGGGAGGGTGGGGGATGCGAGGACAGGCGGGGCAGGGCAGGGCGAGGACGTCAAACCAGCTAGTGAGGATGCCAGCGGCCCAGTGAGGTGTGCCAGTGTCCCCACGCCAAGCACTTCCTGCCCCAGCCCAGCGTGAGCCCCAGTGGGGGACTGGTGGAGTCTGCATCTCAGAATGCGGGGCTACCTGGGTGTGGGAGGGGCCGAGTCGAGGGGCTGTGGGCCTGGTGCCTGCTGGGCAGTTTTGTGGAGACTGGGGGTGGGGTGCAGCGGGGAGGTCCCAGGGCTGCACCCAGCACAGCCCCACAGGCCAAGGGACAGGAGGAGGCGCAGCCCTGCCTGGGTGGCCCTCAGAGCATCCAAGGGGCTGGCGGGTCAGGGCGCACCTGTCACAGAGCTGCAGGCGGACAGCAGCTCCCTGCCCTTGCTGGAGAGCAGGGGCCGCCGCAAAGGGTGCCAGTGCTGAGCAGGCACAGTCGGCCGGCGCCCACCCCACAGGCCCTTGCCACCTGCCCCGGCACCCTCAGTGGCCCGGCGGGGGCCTTGGCTCCTGGCCTTTACCCCAGACGTCCAGGCTGGGGCTCCTGCCCTGCCTCCCTTGTTGGCCTTCGCGGCTGGGGCTCAAGTCGCGCTGGGCCCCCCTGGGGTGCCTGTGGCCCCCAGCCCAGGCCGGGTGAGCTTCAGCTGGGAGCCTGGCCGCAGCCCAGTGGCTGTGAGGGAGCTACGCCCACAAGGCAGTGAGCAGTGGCCAGGGTCCTTTCTGGAGCTGGGTTCCGATCCTGCCAGCTCACGGGAGAGTGGGGAGTGCCTGGCACCAGCGCGAGGGCCATGCCGGCTGGGGAGGTGCTTGGCGCCGCTTGGCACTGCAGCTCAGCAGACGGGGAAGGAGCTGCCATCAGCGGTGCTTCTGGGAGCTCTGCGGGGCCGAGGCCCCCGACCCCAGGGAGGGGTGTGGCCGTGGCTCCAGCACTCCTGGGGCCAAGCACAGAGACATCGCCAGCTGTTGACAAGTCTGCCATTTCAGGTGAGCAAAATCAGCCTGGTGGACCTGGCCGGGAGTGAGCGGGCAGACTCCACGGGAGCCAAGGGCACGCGTCTCAAGGTAGGGCTGCCCGCCGCGGCGTGCTAAGCCGGCACCCTCTGCGCTTTGGTTCACCGGGCATGGGTCTGGCCTGTTAGGGTGGGTGGGGCGGGAGGGCTGTGCTTGGGGGGTCAGGGCTGCACAGGGCAGGCCCTGGGGGCTTCTCCTGGGGCGGGGGGCACCCGGGCCCTGCTGAGCCCCGGCCATCTTCCCTGCATACAGGAGGGAGCCAACATCAACAAGTCCTTGACCACTCTGGGGAAGGTCATCTCTGCCCTGGCGGAAATGGTGAGTGGGCGCCGGGCCTGGGGCTGGACTGAGAGGGTGGACTCGGGGTTCCCTGCCCCGGCCTCTCAGAGGATGCTGGGACCCACTCAGCGCGCTCCCGGCTCGGCCCTGGCCCGGCCCCGGCCCCCGGCGAGGAGGCTGTGGTCTCGGAGGGGAGCCGCACAGGCTGGCCGTGGGCTCTGGTCACTGCCCTGCCCGAGGCCTCATTTTCCCTGCTGTACAGTGGGCGTGGGTCCCTTCCCCGTGGACCCTTCCGAGGGCCACCGCGGGCCGTGCTCTCGTGAGCTTGCTGGCTCCAGAGAGTGCCACAGCTCCTGCAGGTGAGGGCTGGGTGTGACAGCCCCGCACTCACAAGACACCCGGCTGTAGGCCAGGGCAGAACCTGCCCTACCCTGCGGTGTTGGGGGCTGAGCGGTTGTCTGGCCTGCTTGCCAGGACCAGCCGGGTGACCAGTGGTGGCTGGGCAGTGGGTGCTGGGCCCCAGTGCCCGAGACCCCCGCCTCATCCAGCCTCTGACTTCTCGTCTATTCTCTTCCAGGACTCCGGGCCCAACAAGGTAAGCTGCTCCTTCAGCCCTGGGCAGCCCAGCCCGGCTCTCCCCGGGGAGGCCCACAGCAAAGCCCACCCCGCTTGTCGACATGGCGAAGCACGCTGAGCCTGGCCACAGCCAGCCCTGGCGGGGCACAGCCGGGGTCTGGTGCCCCCTGCACCGCGGGGGAGGGGACAGTCAGACACACAGAAAGATAAGGGCAGCATCGCACGTGGAGTAAATCCCGGGAAGGGAGCGGCTGCGTGACCAGACGTGACGGCCTCGAGGCCGCGGGAGCCCTGGGTGTGCAGTGGGGGGGCGCCGACACCTGTGGGCGAGAGTGTTAGGGACGGGGGCCCCAAGAGCCGTGCTGAGACTCAGAGGCACTGCGAGGGGTGGCGAGGGAGATGAGGGAGACGGGGTGTGGGGTGTGGGACTGTGTGGGGGCTGTGTGAGTGTGAGGGCGGGTGAGTGATGAGAGGGTGTGTGGGTGTGGGTGTGAGTGAGGGGTGTGGGTTGTGAGTGAGGGGTGAGGGGTGTGAGTGAGGGGTGTGGGTTGTGAGGGGTGAGGGGTGTGAGTGAGGGGTGTGGGGTATGAGTGAGGGGTGTGGGGTGTGAGGGGTGTGGGGTGTGAATGAGGGGTGTGGTGTGTGAGGGGTGTGGGGTGTGAGTGAGAGGTGTGAGTGAGGGGTGTGGGGTGTGAGTGAGGGATGTGGGGTGTGAGTGAGAGGTGTGGGGTGTGAGGGGTGTGGGATGTGAGAGGTGTGGGGTGTGAGTGAAGGGTGAGGGGTGTGAGTGAGGGGTGTGGGTGTGAATGAGGGGTATGGGTGTGAGAGGTGTTGGGTGTGAGAGGTGTGGGGTGTGAATGAGGGGTGTGGGGTGTGAGTGAGAGGTGTGGGGTGTGAGTGAGGGGTGTTAGTGAGAGGTGTGGGGTGTGAATGAGGGCTGAGGGGTTTGAGTGAGGGGTGAGGGGTGTGAGTGAGGGCTGAGGGGTGTGAGTGAGAGGTGTGGGTTTAAATGAGAGTGACAGGTGTGAAAGTGAGGGGTGTGATTGAGGGTGTGAGGGCTGTGATTGAGGGTGTGAGGGCTGTGATTGAGGGTGTGAGGGGTGTGAGTGAGGGTGTGAGGAGCATGGGAGCTGTACAAGGACCCGAGAGGCTGAGATGCCCGGAGGTGAGGTGAGAACTGGAAGGAATTTGGCGTCCCTGAATGTGAGGGACTTGGGGGCTGTGAGAGGACAGGGGAGACCTGGCTGCGTGGGTGCTCTCTGGGGTCATCTGTGAGGGCGGTGAGGACACGGGGGCTGCAAACCCAGGACATAGGAGAGAATTTGGGGAACTGGTTGAGGATAGAGCCCATGGTCCTGTGGACGGTGGCCACGAGCCGTTTGCACGTGGCTCTGTGGAAGCAGTGGCTGGGGCCAGGTCAGATTAGTCTGGAATGTGCCAGGCGGTTGGGTGGAGAGCGGTGGGTGGGGACTGGCCTCGTGTGGGCGCAGGAGACGGAGACGCCAGGTGTCTGGGAGGTGGTGGGCCTGCCCGAGGGGACTGAGTGTTCGGTGCGGGAGGCAGCAGGTGGGACCACGGGGCTCCTTGCCAATGCCCTTGAGAGGCCGCAGGGCATTTGCCGGGAAGTGGACATCAGCTGTGAGGGCGTCCTGAGGAGCACCTCCCGCAGCTGTGACATGGCGGGGGGCCGGTGGGGGCTCCCCCGGAGGAATAAGAGCACAGGAAGGGGGGGCGCGGCGTGGGTGCTGGGGGAAGCCATGTCAGCAGAGGGGTCGTCCCCTCTGGCCAGAAGGGGCCACCAGGTGCTGACGGCGCTGTGGACTCAGCCCAGTCCCTCTGACAATAGAGGGAGGACATGGTGGCCGGGACGTGAGCCATCCCAGCTCCCGTCCAGCTGCCTGGGCGAGGCACAAACCCGAGGAGTGCGCTGCCCGCCCCTGTCTCTGGGGGGTGTGAGTGAGAGGTGTGGCCCAGCCCCCAGCCCCCACCTGCCCCGGCTCTGGGCCACGCGCAGGCCCTGTGTGGCCCCTCCCTCCTCTGCCGAAGGCTCGGGGCTGACCTTGTGGTTTTCTCTCCCGCAGAACAAGAAGAAGAAGAAGACAGATTTCATTCCATACCGGGACTCCGTGCTGACCTGGCTCCTCCGGGAGAACCTGGGTGAGCACTCGGGCCGGCCACCCCACTCGGACCTCCACCTGGGCCGGGGGAGGCCGGCCACCCCACTCGGACCTCCACCTGGGCCGGGGGAGGCCGGCCACCCCACTCGGACCTCCACCTGGGCCGGGGGAGGCCGGCCACCCCACTCGGACCTCCACCTGGGCCGGGGGAGGCCGGCCACCCCACTCTGACCTCCACCTGGGCCGGGGGAGGCCGGCAACCCCCACTCTGACCTCCACCCTGGGCCGGGGGAGGCCGGCCACCCCACTCTGACCTCCACCTGGGCTGGGGGAGGCCGGCGACCCAGCCACCTGGGTGGGGGCGGGGGGAGCTCCTGCCCCTTTTTATGCCAAGGCCGAGGTGAACGTGGAGGGCCTGGGGCAGCGGCTGGCAGGGAGTTAGCGGGAGCAGGTCTGGGGGGCCAGGATGGCTCGCAGGGGCTGCAGACATGCCCACTGGTGTCAGGGGTCTGGGCTGGGACAGCTGTGCCCCCAGACCCAGTGGCCTGATTTCCTCATCGGGGGTGTGACACCGCGAGCCCCCCTTTCTGCCCCCCAAGCCCCAAGCTGTGGGAGGGCGTTCAGTGGGGAAGGGGAGAGGGTGGCACACCAAGCCCAGACCCCAGCCCTCCCACATCACCCTGGCCATGTGAGTGGCCAGAGAGCTGACGCCTAGGGAGGTGGCTGCGTCTTGGGCTGACCCGGGGTCTGTGGTCTCCCTCGATGCGGGGCCGAGATGGGCGGCCGCAGCCGCCTGGCGATGCATTGTGCTGTGGCACCGTGTGAGGGAGGAGCCGGCAGGGGTCTGTGGGCCTCGCTGAGACGGGACAAGGGTGTCGCAGGAGCACCCAGCTGTGGCTGCAAGGGAGACCCTGCCCAGGCTCAGGCCCAGGGTGGGGCAGGAGAGGCCCCAGGTAGCCTGCTGGGGGTCCAGCATAGCACTGGGCCTGGGTCCTTCTCACTGTCACCTCACCGTCCCTGTGGGGACTTCCGGAACCGTACCCCAGGGCCACGGCCCTGAGGCCACAGAGGAAGGCAGGTGAGACCACCTGTCCACCCTGGAGCTTGGACGGCAGCGGTGCTGAGGGCTGGGGTGGGGCCGGTCAGGGCCGACCCCACGGGCCCTGCCGCCCGGCCTCACCCGCGCCGGTGAGACTGCGCGTTTCCTGGCCACCGGGGCCGAGCAGGCAGTGCTCAGTACGTTGCAGAGTGCGCGAAGCCGTCTGGGGGTGACTGCCTCGCGCCCCGGCCCCAGCAAGGGTGCCTGGTGCGGAGACAGCCCAGCCGGGGAGGGCCGGGGCCAGTGCTGTGCCTCGGCTTACCTCTCTGTCTCAGCTTCCCGCCTGGACGTGGCGGTGGGAGGGAGCGGTGGGGATCGGTGCGAGCCCTCCGCAGCCCTGGGCACAGCCTGGTTTCTGCCCCAGGTGGGAACTCCAGGACAGCTATGGTGGCAGCCCTGAGCCCTGCGGACATCAACTACGATGAGACCCTCAGCACCCTGAGGTGTGTGCCCGAGGTGGGGACCCCTGGGAGAGGGACCGCCTCCCTGGGGGCCTCCCTGGGGCTCTGTGGGCTCCCGGCCTTCGTGGGCCCTGTCCTGTGCGTGCACATTAGGGCTGTGGCAGCCCAGGGTCCCCATAGCTCTTGCTGCCGTGGGGGTGACGCCAGTGCCCTCCGGCAGGGCCGTGGGTGCCCCCTGGGCCCGCTGGCAGAGCTCTCGGCTCGGCCTGGCCCATGCCTCCCCTTGCCACCCAGGTACGCCGACCGCGCCAAGCAGATCCGCTGTAACGCGGTCATCAACGAGGACCCCAACAACAAGCTGATCCGGGAGCTAAAGGACGAGGTGACCCGGCTGCGCGACCTGCTGTACGCCCAGGGGCTCGGCGACATCACCGACAGTGAGTGTCTGTGCCGGCCTGGCCCGGGCAGGGCAGGGGCCGCAGGCCCAGAGGCCTCCCCTGGGGCCAGCGTGCTGGCTCTCCCAGCCCCGCCTCCCTCGCCCTGGACCCAGCTGCCTTGGGATGGGGGGGGGGGGGGTCCAGGCAGGAGCCCTGGCTGAGGGCCGAGCTTTCCGGCCTTGGCTGGATGGAGCTGTGTGGTTTGGGTTTGGCACTGGCCCAGACAGGCCAGAGACGGTGTCCCTGGAAGCCCACCTGGGTCCCCGGGCTGCAGACTGCACCCCCGCCTGTTGCCGCCCAGCCTTCCCCTGGCTCCCAGCCCGCGACGGTGCCAGCCTGCCGGGAACAAACCTCTTCTGTTTCTGTCTCTCCTCCCTCCCTCACGCCTGCCCTGCCCCGTAGCCAACACTGTGCCCGGAGGACCCAAATGTGTGTATTCCCCTTTGCTGCTCTGCACTGCTTCTGGCCCACCGGGGGCCCAGGGCAGCACGGGCGGGGGGCGGACGGGGGTCCCACGGCCTCTCTCACTCCCTGCCTGGAGGAGCCTGGGCTCCTGCCCATCCTGCCTGGATGGCGTCTGAGGGAAACTGAGGCACGGGGGGGCAGGGCGGAGCCCATGCCTCCTGAGGGTGAAAGGGGGTGAGGAGAGGGCCCCTGCGTGCCTGGAGGCCAGGCAGGAGGAGTGTCAGCGCCGTGGGGCTGGGAGGACAGCGGGCCTCCAGGTAGCCTGGCGTTTCTCCAGTTTCTCCAGCCGCCCCATGCCAGGGCCCCTTCTCTCCAGAAGGGCCGTGAGCTGGTCCTCGTGGTGGCCGCCACCAGACCCTGCCCAGGCGTTAGGTGGCCCTGGGCTGGCTCCACGGGGTTCTGTGCTTGCCCTGCGGGCCCTGAGGCGGAAGGGGGCACCCCCTTCCCCCGCCCCGTGCTGCCCTGTGTTTGCTGCTGCGCTGCGGTGTGTCTGCTTCTGCTGGAGGGGCCTGGGGACCTCGCACCCAGGGGAGGGGAGGAGGACGCCCCGCTCTGGGCTGCAGGGGCTGCAGTCCTGGGTGAGCTCCTCGTGTGGGAGTAGGCGCTCCCTGGGGAGGCTGGGGAGCCGCTCACCCCCTCCTTCAGCCGGTCCTGGGGTGGATTTCCGCGCTCAGCGGGGCCAGCCCATCCCCCGCAGCTCAGGGGTGCTGTGCAGTGGGGGTAAGGGGCCGGCGGCACCCACACAGAGGATGAGGGTGAGCATTGGGGCTGCCAGGTGGCTGCGGGTGGGGCAGTGGCAGGAGGCAGGTGCCTGGGAGAGCGCCTGGCTCACAGGCTGTGCGCTGCCACAGGGCAGAGTGGGCTAGCAGGTGGCGTGGGCTCCTAGTGGGCTGGTGGGCTCAGGTTCCCAGGTGGGCGGCACAGGCTCCCTGGTGGGTTCAGGCTCCCTGGTGGGTGGCACAGGCTCCCGGGTGGGCAGTACAGGCTCCCAGGTAGGCATGGGTCCCCTGGTGGGTGGCACAGGCTCCCTGGTGGGTGTGGCCCCCCGGTGGGCAGCGCAGGCGCCCTGGTGGGTGGCACAGGCTCCCTGGTGGGTGTGGCCCCCTGGTGGGTAGCACAGGCTCCCTGGTAGGTGTGGGCCCCCTGGTGGGCGGCACAGGCTCCCTGGTGGGTTCAGGCTCCCTGGTGGGTGGCACAGGCTCCCTGGTGGGCTCAGGCTCCCTAGTGGGCTCAGGCTCCCTGGTGGGTGTGGCCCCCCGGTGGGTGGCACAGGTTCCCTGGTAGGTGTGGGCCCCCTGGCGGGCAGCGCAGGCTCCCTGGTGGGTGTGGGCCCCCTGGCGGGCAGCGCAGGCTCCCTGGTAGGTGTGGGCCCCCTGGCGGGCAGCGCAGGCTCCCTGGTGGGTGTGGGCCTCCTGGTGGGTGGCACAGGCTCCCTGGTGGGTGTGCGCCCCCTGGTGGGCGGCACAGGCTCCCTGGTGGGTTCAGGCTCCCTGGTGGGTATGTGCCCCCTGGCGGGCAGCGCAGGCTCCCTGGCGGGCGGGGCTCCTGGAGGTCTCGCATGTGCTTGCCCTGGGCCGCGGGCTGCCGCGCTCGCTGCGCCGTGCTTCTTGCCGACTCCTGGCTGCACCTCTCGCCTCTCCCCGACTCCGTCTCTCTTTTCTCTCCCTCCGTCGGTCTGTCCGCCCGGCCTCCCTCCCATAGACGCGTCCGACCTTGAGAACAATAACCGCGGCCGCGGCGGGGCGCAGCCGAGTGAGGCCCCTGACAATCTCTCCACAGTGACCGACGCCCTGGCGGGCATGAGCCCCTCGTGCTCGCTCTCGGCCCTGTCCAGCCGCGCGGCCTCCGTGTCCAGCCTGCACGAGCGCATCTTGTTTGCCCCGGGCAGCGAGGAGGCCATCGAGAGGCTGAAGGTGAGGGCCGGGCTGGCCGAGGGCGCTTCCCAGGGGCGCCTCGAGAGGAGGGAGGACCGGGTCGTCCTCCTGGGGCCAGGGTGGAGCAGCAGCAGGTGTCTTGGGCGTGTGGCCACCGGTGGACCCTGGCCTGTCCCCGGCCCACCCACGGCAGCCAGGGAAGCCCAGTGGCTTTAGGGGTCCCTGGACTGATGGACAGAAAGTGCCCATGAAGGACCCTGGATCCCGGTGTCGGGGCTGCCTGTCCCTGAGCAGCAGCAATGGAGAGGGAAGTCCTCAGAGCCACGTGCCCAGGGCCCAGTCTCTTCGCAACTCTAATCGCACCCCTGGTCCTTGTCTCCGGAGCGTGAGCCCGGTGTTGTCTGCAGGGGAGAGGGAGCCGCGACCCCCGGCCCCCAGGGTCCCCACAGTGTCCTTGCTGGGGTGCGGCAGCCTCCCCCCGGAGCCGGCCCCCACTGTGCAGGCCCCAGCTGCCCCCTGCTTACACCCTGGTTCCCAGTGGGCCTGGCTGGTTTCAGGTGTCCACTCCACATTGCTGCAGTGCCGGCCGTGCAAGGGGTGGGGGGCTGGGCTGTGGCCCCAGAGACAGGGGTGCTGAGGCCCCGAGGCCGGGGTGAGGCGGGGCTGCAGGTGCCTAGGTCAGGGGCCCCTCTGGGGCATGGGGTCCATGGACAGTGAGGAGGAAGGACATGGAAGGAGGGTGCTGGTGCCGGGAATGGACGGGCAGTGCCGTGGGAGCTGTGGCAACGTCTGCCGGGCATGTCTTCCTCGCCCCCTCTTTCCCTCCGACCCCCTGCCTCGGTGGCCCGGGGGTCTGGGCCCTGGCCCAGGACCCCACATGCTCCGTGTTGCCCCCAGGAAACAGAGAAGATCATCGCCGAGCTCAACGAGACCTGGGAGGAGAAGCTGCGGCGCACGGAAGCCATCCGCATGGAGAGGTGGGCGCCCCGGCCCAGGCAGCGGCTCCGTGCAGAAGGGCCAGTCCCTGCCGGGGGCGCCTTAGCTCGCTGACCATGGGGGCCACAGGGCCCACAGCCCTGCTGGCTCTGTGAGGCCAGTCCTGGAAGCACCTGCTGACCCCAGCTCTGTCCCCCAGGGAAGCTTTGCTGGCTGAGATGGGCGTGGCCATGAGGGAGGATGGCGGCACCCTGGGCGTGTTCTCTCCCAAGAAGGTAGGGACCCGGTGGGCCCAGGGCCGTGAGGCCACCCTGACTTGGAGACGGGGCAGGTGGAGAGCTGGTGTTCCTGTGAGGAGGGGGCATGGTGGGCACAGCCCCGCCACCCACGGCTGGATCTTCCTCTGAGCGGGGGACCTGCCCTCTGCTTTTTCAAGGCGGGGCATTCTGGTGGTTTTGGAACATTGAGGGGGGCTCTTAGCCACTTAGGGTGTGGAGTCAGCCCCCAAGGGGAGAGCCAGGCTGGGAGCCACTTCCCGGCCGGAGACCTGAGACTTGTGGGGCTGAGCCACTTGTGGGTAGGGCCTGGGGGCCACAGAGCTGGGAGCCTGCTGGCCCCTGGGTGCAGCTGGAGCCGGGGCTGAGTGGCGCTCACTGGCTCACAGGTCCCAGGCCTGGGCTGGGCCTCGGGGGTCTTTGGGGGCCCTCACCTTTCACTGCGTATGTGGCTCCTCTGCCGGGAGGAACTGGCTCGGGCACCTGGACCCCCACTCCGGCCCCTTTGAGACTGGGAGGGCTCCTCAGCCGGGCCCAGGGGCAGGGCGGGGGAGGGGGCACCAGCAGGCACGAGCAGCCTTCCCACTGTGCCAGACTGCTGTGTGCCACAGGAGTGCCCAGGAGGGCGCGGGGCAGCAGGCCCCTTGTGTCCTCCGAGGACCGGTGGTGTCTGGCGTCTGGGAGAGGGAGGTGCAGCGGCCAGCCTGGGCTCCTGCCCTTACCAGGGGTGACCCTCCTGCCGCCCCCCAGACACCACATCTGGTCAACCTGAACGAGGACCCTCTGATGTCTGAGTGCCTCCTCTACTACATCAAAGACGGCATCACCAGGTAAGGCCCCGCGCCCAGTCATGGCGCCTACCGGGCCCAGGGCGTCTCTACATGCAGGGGCTGGGCGGGGCTGCCAGGCGGGGCTGCCAGTCTGATGCCCCCGCCCCCCTCCAAAGTGGGCAGGGAGGACGGCATCACCAAGTGAGGCCCCGTGCCCAGTCATTGCGCCTACTGGGCCCAGGGCGTCTCTAGATGTGGGGGCTGGGCGGGGCTGCCGGGCGGGGCTGCCGGTCTGATGCCCCCGCCCCCCCAGAGTGGGCAGGGAGGACGGCGAGAGGCGGCAGGACATCGTCCTCAGCGGGCACTTCATCAAGGAGGAGCACTGCGTGTTCCGGAGTGACTCCAGGGGCGGCAGTGAAGGTGAGCCCCGCCCGCCCTCAGCCCCGGTTCCGTGCGTGGGTGTGGCGTCTGGGTGCTGGGTAGGGGTGGGTGCTGCTGGGGGAGCCGAGCCCCTTGGGAGGCTCAGTGTGGGACATGGGCGAGCTGTCCCTCCTCTTACCCTGTGCCAGGGCTGCCAGCCAGGAAGCATGGCTGGGCGGCCGGGAGGGCGGAGAGCCTGGGGAGCAGCCATCTGTCCACTCCCTGCCTCGCCACCGCTCCTCCCGGACAGCAGTTTGGCCGTGCCCATCACCTGGCACTGCTGTCACGGTGACGAGCCTGCTGGGCCCCTGGGCTGCTGTAGCATGTGAGGCCCGTATCTGAAGGCTGCTGTCCACCTGGACGTGGTGCTGAATGGTGCTGGTGACAGCTGGCACTCCCAGAATTCTCCTCTGTCCACAGAGCCCCAAGCCCCTGCCGCTTGCTCCGTGGGTGAGCCCAGTGTCAGATGGGTCAGGCTGGCCTCAGTCTCTGGGCTGTATCTGCCTGAGACCTGGCCGGGGCCTGGGGGCTCAGGCCCAGCAGCCTCCCGGGCTCTCACTGGCCCGTTTCCTCCTCTGCCACTTGGGCTGGGACCCCTGCAGCCCCCTCTGAGGCCACACAGGGGCACTGGTGGCCAGGCTCTGTGGACAGCAGCAGGGAGGGAGGCCTGGCACCAGCTCTCACGGGCCTCCCTTTCTCTGTCCTGCAGCCGTGGTGACCCTGGAGCCCTGCGAGGGGGCAGACACCTACGTCAATGGCAAGAAAGTGACAGAGCCCAGCATCCTGCGGTCAGGTAGGGGGGGGCGTGGGGCAGGGGAGGGGCCCGAGGTGACCAGTCAGGTAGAGACCAGGAGAGGGGCATGGGGAGGCCGAGGGGCAGGCAGGGGCGCGAAGTGGCCCCTGTCCTCACGTCCCAGTCACCCTATCTGCCTGGTATACCAGGCAGAGATGGCCACGCCCATGGCACCAGGACCCCTGAGCCAGTGAGCGGACAGTGGGGTGAGGGGAACCTGCCTGGGCTACAGCAGGCAGCCCTGGACAGGTGTGGTGAGTGACTGGGGGCGGCCGTCGGCAGCCGTCCTGACTGTTCCCATGTGAGTGCTGTTGAAGTCTAACTTCAGCGCCGTGCACAGGCATGCGGGGGCCTGGCCCGGGCGGTGCAGACGGAGGGTGTGGCGACTCAGCGCTCCGGCGCACGACGGGGCTGGTCCAGGAGCCAGCCCCTGCGACCGTGGGGCTGGCGTGGCAGGCGTGCAGCCACAGCTGGGAATGCAGGCAGGGACTTGGGGTCTGTGCCTGACTGGACGAGGCCCTCGCTGCCGCGTCCCCTTCCGTCCAGCCAGCTGCTGGCAGGCCGGGCCCCGCGCCAGAGCCCCAGCGACACCCACACAGCCCGCGATTGTCTTGCTGGTGCCGCAGCCCGGCCCAGCAGATGCACGAAACCCGCCAACTGCCAGCCTCCACCAGGCGTGAGGGCCAGGAAGACCCTCGCCCCGCCCTGAAGGGCATGTCCACGAGTCTGTGCTCCTGCCTTTGGGGCCCCCAGGGAGGGCCAGGGGCCTCCTGAGTTTTGGGGTCACCTTGCCAGCCTGTACAGGAAGACGGGGCACAGTTAGGCCTGGGTGGTGGAGGCAGGGCAGACACCTGATGCCGACCCGGGGTCAGCCTGGTGCCCGGGGTCCCGGGGTCCCGGAGGGCACACCTGTGCCCGACCCGGGGTCAGCCTGGAGCCCGGGGTCCCGGGGTCCCAGAGGGCACACCTGTTCCTGACCCGGGGTCAGCCTGGCACCCGGGGTCCCGGGATCCTGGAGGGCACACCTGTGCCTGACCTGGGGTCAGCCTGGCGCCCAGGGTCCCGGGGTCCCAGAGGGCATACATGTGCCCGACCCAGGGTCAGCCTGGTGCCCAGGGTCCCAGAGAGCACACCTGTGCCTGACCCAGGGTCAGCCTGGTGCCCAGGGTCCCGGAGGGCACACCTGTGCCCGACCCGGGGTCAGCCTGGAGACCAGGGTCCCGGAGGGCATATCTGTGCCCGACCCAGGGTCAGCCTGGCGCCCAGGGTCCCGGGGTCCCGGAGGGCACACCTGTTCCCGACCCGGGGTCAGCCTGGCGCCCGGGGTCCCAGGGTCCCGGAGAGCACACCTGTTCCCGACCCGGGGTCAGCCTGGCGCCCAGGGTCCCGGGATCCCGGAGGGCACACCTGTTCCCAACCCAGGGTCAGCCTGGAGCCCGGGGTCCCAGAGGGCACAGCAGAAGCCCACGTTTGCAGCTGCTGCTGGCTGCTGAGCTGGGAACGGCCTGAGGAGGTGGATTTGAGGGGAGGGGGCTGCAGGTAGGGCCTGGAGCTGGGGGCAAGGGGTAAGGTGCTCCTGGTAGCCAGGCAAGTGTCCGAGGCCCGGGTCCAGCGAGGGCCCGCACCCCTGCCTCTGCTTTCTCCTCCCTGCTTGGGGCCGCCGGAGACCTGCAGGTCCCCAAGGCCAGCCGTGCCTCTGTCCCCAGGAAACCGCATCATCATGGGTAAGAGCCACGTGTTCCGCTTCAACCACCCGGAGCAGGCGCGGCAGGAGCGGGAGCGCACGCCCTGCGCAGAGACGCCCGCCGAGCCCGTGGACTGGGCCTTCGCGCAGCGCGAGCTGCTAGAGAAGCAGGGCATCGACATGAAGCAGGAGATGGAGCAGAGGTGAGGCTGGGTGGGCCTGGCGCGCCCCGCCGCCCCCGCCCCTGCTCACCCCCGCCCCCACCCGCAGGCTGCAGGAGCTGGAAGACCAGTACCGCCGGGAGCGGGAGGAGGCCACCTACCTGCTGGAGCAGCAGCGGCTGGTGAGCGGCCGGGCCTCGGCTGGGGGTGGGGGCGGCCGGGCCTCCGCTGGGGGTGCGGGCCGGCCGGCGAGAGCCATGGCCTTGCCTCTTCGCAGGACTACGAGAGCAAGCTGGAGGCCCTGCAGAAGCAGATGGATTCCAGGTACTGCCCAGAGGTGAACGAGGAGGAGGAGGAGCCGGAGGACGAAGGTGAGGGCCTCCCCGCGGCCACCGGGTCAGCACCTCCGCCCGGGGTCAGGTTCTGTGCCGGGGAACTGCCTCCTGGCCCCTGGGAAGGATTATGGGGCCTGAGCCGCACAGGTCCGCGTGCGTGTGCACATGTGCACACGTGCATGCTGGTACCGAGGGGCAGGGCTCACCGTGCGCACAGCCTGCGCCCATGCACCCCATTCTGTGTGCTGTGGAGACCACAAGGTCGAGGTCCGCCCTGACCTCGGGACCCTGAGTGCATGCTCCGGCCACAGTGGGTGGGGCTGTGGCTGCAGGTCCATGTGCACTTGGCATCCAGCAGCTGGCCACACTGACACACTCACACACTCACACTGACACACTAACACATGCACACTGACACACACACTGATACATGCTTACACAGACACACTAACACATGCACACTGACACACTAACACACAACACACACTGACATACACACACTGACACACTCACACTGTTACATTAACACACGCCAACACACTCACACTGACATACACACACACACTGACACGCTCACAAACACAGATACACTAACACACATGCCAACACACTCACACTGACACACACACTGACACACTAACACATGTACACTGACACACTGACACACTAACACATTGACACACTAACACACACACCAAACACACTGACATATACACACACTGACACACACACACACTGACATGCTCACACACACTGATACACTAACACACACACCAACACACACACAGACACACACATCACTCACAAACACATCTCACTCACACATTTACACACACTGATGTGCTCACACATGCACTCATGCACATTGACACACTAACACACACCAACACACACAGACACACTGGTACTGGCACTAACACAAGCATACTGACACACTCACACTGAGACACATCATACACAGACACATCTCACACACATTTGCACACACTGACACACTCACTGACATGCTCACACTGACACACGCTGACGCACACCTCACACACACCTCACACACTTCACACACCTCACACACACTGATGTGCACACAAACTGACACACCTCACATACTGACACTGATGTGCACACACACTGACACACACCTCACACACTGACACACTCCTCACACACTGACAGTGATTTGCACACACACACACCTCACACACTGACACACTCCACAAACACTGACACACTCCTCACACACAGACACACTGATGTGCACACACACACTGAAACACCTCACACACTGACACACACACACTGATGTGCACACACTGACACACTAACACACGCACACTGACACACACCTCACACACTCACCAGTCCAGTGAGATTCCTTCTCAGAACTCAGGGACTCTGGGTGGGAGGGGCAGCTGAGAGGTGGTGGTCTGGGAGGGAGGAGGGGCGGTGGTCTGGGAGGGAGGAGGGGCAGTGGTCTGGGAGGGAGGAGGGGCAGTCTTGGCTCCAGGAGGAGCTCCCGGCCTTTCTCCCGAGGGCCCAGTGGACAGACAGGCGCGTGCCCTGGGAGGGCCAGTCCCACCCTGTGGGCACCATCTGCTCTCCCGCCCCCTCCCAATTCCCTGCCCCCAGTGCCGAATGTGGCTCCCATGGATGAGGTCTCCCACCCTCTCCTGGCACAGAGCCGCCCTGGCCTGGGCTGGAGGGGGTGCCTGGAGCCACAGAGCCAGGACAGGGGCCTGCCCCCTGCCCCCCTCAGGCCACAGGGACCACGGTGGGCGTCGGTGTCCAGCCTGTGATCTTTTCATTCGGGTGCCACCCTGTGGGGTCAGCCAGGGCCCCCTGCAGTGCCGGCCCCGGGTGGGGCGTGGTGGGCAGTGCTGTGGCCTCTCCCTGCAGTTCAGTGGACGGAACGGGAGTGTGAGCTGGCGCTGTGGGCCTTCCGGAAGTGGAAGTGGTACCAGTTCACATCCCTGCGGGACCTGCTATGGGGCAACGCCATCTTCCTCAAGGAAGCCAACGCCATCAGTGTGGAGCTGAAGAAGAAGGTGCAGCCCCCCCCCCCTGCAGGCCCCACTGTTCTTCTACAGCCCCGCCCCTCCCTCTGCAGCCCCACCCTCCCTCTGCAGCCCCGCCCCTCCCTCTGCAGCCCCACCCTCCCTCTGCAGCCCCGCCCCTCCCTCTGCAGCCCCACCCTCCCTCTGCAGCCCCGCCCCTCCCTCTGCAGGCCCCATCCCTCCTTCTGAAGCCCCGCCCACCCAGCCTGGGCCACTGGAAGTGAGGGCAGTTGAGGGTGGCCCTAGGACCGGCTGGGGTGGGCTCATCACCCTCTGTGCGCAGGGCAGGCATGGCCATCAGGGCTGATGGAGCAGGTGGCACTGTCCAGTGGACTCCGGGGGTGTGGGGCTGAGATCCAAGTTGGCAGGGAGGCCCTGGCCTGGCTGACCGGGGTCGTCTTCCTCCTGCCCAGGTCCAGTTCCAGTTTGTCCTCCTCACTGACACGCTGTACTCCCCGCTGCCTCCGGACCTGCTGCCCCCGGAGGCGGCCAAGGACCGGGAGACACGGCCCTTCCCCCGCACCATTGTGGCCGTGGAGGTCCAGGACCAGAAGAACGGGGCCACCCACTACTGGACGCTGGAGAAGCTCAGGTGGGCTGGCGGGCAGTCGAGGGGCCAGGGCTGCCTCCCCCAGGGATGGTGGATGCGCTGTTTCTCCTGCCTTCGTTCCGTGGTCACGTGTGGAAAACAAGGAGATGGGGGCTGAGGCCAGGGGCCAGGAGCTGTGGCAGTGTTCCTGGTTCGAGGGCTTGCGTGGGAGAAGCCCAGAGGGCCTGGGGGTATACTGTCCCCCAGCCAGCCGGAGCCGGGAGAGGCAGGGAGGGGGCAGCTCCTGGACCCCGGACACTTGCAGGAGGTAGAGGTGGAACTGGGGCAGGGCCGGCCAGGGAGCGGGAGAGGGCAGCCAGGGACCGCTTGTCCGTCCCTGCTGGACAGGAGGGCTCCTGCACTGCACACACTCTGGCCTGCGCCAGGTCTCACTGTCACGCCGAGAGGCACAGCCAGGCATCACTCAGTCCTCGGGCGGAGAGGAGGCGGCGCGTGGTCTGGACCGGGAGGGAGCCAGGGGCAGGCGGGGCAGGGGACCAGCCAGTCAGAACCGGGCTCCGGGCCTCAGTGGCGTAGGCAGGGCTGCTGGTGCCGTGTGAGAGGAGGTTAGAGAAGGGGGCGGTCTGGGCGTGGGCCCCCTCCCGCAAGGTGCTGCCTCTGGGGAGCGGCGAGACGGGAGGGGCTCCCGGAGGTGTGAGTGACGCAGTGACCGCTCTCAGACCCTCCCCTTTCTGGTGCGGTTTAGCTGCTCACACTCACGTCCATGCACCTGCAGGCACTCGCACACGACAGTCAGACACGCACTCTGCATTGTGCAGACACAGCCTCGTGCTCACCCCCACTGCACGCTCACGCCAGGCAGACGCTTGCCTCGTCACTCGGGGTGGGCCTGAGCCCCCCGCCAGGGCCCGGCCCCCGCCTTTCTTCCTTCTTGGGTAAAACTTTTGCAGCCTTTGTGCTGAGCTCTGCTCGGGCGGCCCCTCCCTCCCCCGGCAGCTTCCCGGCTGTGGACCTCGGCCACCCTGCCGCTGTCCTGCGAGGGGGTGGGGGCAGTCAGGGGTGAGCCTGCCGCTCGCGGTGGCTCAGGGGCTTCCTGCAGTGCCCCCACCCCGCCCAGGCCGCGTGACCCCGCTGCAGCTGGCCCTGGGCCCCGGTCCTCACGGCCCTGCCCCCTGCAGGCAGCGCCTGGACCTGATGCGGGAGATGTACGACCGAGCGGCCGAGGTGCCCTCCAGCGTGGTGGAAGACTGTGACAACGTGGTGACTGGCGGAGACCCCTTCTACGACCGCTTCCCCTGGTTCCGGCTGGTGGGCAGGTGGGCGCCTCCTCCCGTCCCTGGCTGAGAGAGAGGGTGGGGGGTCCATGGGGGCAGGAAGTGGGCCTCCTCCTGAGGCCTGGAGCCCCCACAGGAGAGGACGCCCAGGACGCCTGCCCATCCCAGCCCCACCCGTGTACGCCCCACGCCTGCCCAGGCCCTACCGAGCCCCCTCTGGCCCACGGTAGCCCCGTTCTTCCAAGCGACCTGGGAGGGGGTCTCGGCACCGCCCACCCACCCTGCAGTGCAGGACCCTGGGTCCACATGTGAACACGGGAGGCTCCGTCACCTGCTGGCCTTGGGGTGGGAACATGAGGTGGAGCTGGGTCCCAGCCCCCGTCCTCCCGTGGTCCCTCTCCTGGGCTGTGTCCAGCCCTGCACCCCACATGGCCAAGCTCTCGAGGTCCTCACAGCGCCAGCTGCGCCCGGCCAGGACCCCTGTTCTCACCCACACCTCCGGTGCCTTCCAGAACCTTCCAAGCCGTCCGGCTGGCCACACACGATCTCTTCCCAAGGCCGGGGACGGGGGCATTTTGTTCCATGTCCTGGCGGCTGCGAGTCGGTCTGGGTTTGACAGCAGCCGCCCCGCCCGCCCCGGCCCCGCCCACCCCGCGAGCGGCTGTGTTAACTTCTCTCTGTCTTGTCGCACTAACCTCAGTTCAGCCATCTCTGGCTGCAACAGCTACCCTCTTCTCAACACATGCATGAGCGAGCGCATGGCTGCTCTCACCCCCTCCCCAACCTTCTCGAGCCCCGACTCCGACGCCACCGAGCTTGCCGAGGAGCAGAGCGTGGGGGAGGAGGAGGAGGAGGAGGAGGAGGAGGAGGAGCAGGAGGAGCACCTGGAGGACGACGTCTTTCCGGAGCACACGCTGTGCGACGGCCGGGACCCGTTTTACGACCGGCCCCCCCTGTTCAGTTTAGTAGGAAGGTTGGTGAGGCCGAGCACAGCATGCTGGGAAGGACCCAGCTCTTTGGCGCAGGAGCACTGCCGCGGGCCGGAGCCTGGGCGAGGCAGGCTGAGGGGAGGGGCCTGAGGGAGCCTGGGCTCCCCGCGCGTCCCCAGGGCGGGGCTCTGGCCCAGCAGGGGGTCGGTCCAGTTACAGGAGAGGCAGAGGGTCCGGCCTGGGAGCCCCGGGGTGGCCGCGGCTCAGGCCCCTAATGCCTTCCTTGTGCAGGGGCCTTGGAAAGCGAGGCCTAGCCGCCTGCGGCCCGGGTGCCTGGCCCCTCGTCCCGGGGCTCGGCTTGGTCCTGGTGGGAGTGGCTTTACTTCCTTCCACGGCTGTCGGGAGCAGCTGTCTGTGGAAGAGGAGCCGGGCTCAGAGGGGCCGTGCTGAGGCCGGGGAAGCAGCCGGCCCCTCCCCCACCCCCGAAGCCTGGGGGCCTGGGCAGACCCTGGCCCACCAGAGGAGAGTGTGTCCCGGCTCCTCCTGGCCCACTGCCCACGGCAGAGTGGAGCTGCTGCTAAGCCCTCCTGGATGATGCGAGAGGCGAGGCCAGGAGGTGGGCGTGGGCCGTGGGGACGAGCCCTGCCTGCAGCCACGTCAGACACGCGCAGCCTGCGTGGGCAGCAGGCGCCGGAGACCCAGCTGCAGTGGGCAGTGGCTGATGTCTCGAGCTCATGTACATCAAGAGGCTTGAGATAATTGTAAATAATTAATAATAATTGTAAATCAATAATAATTAAAAATAATAATTTTAAATCTATTTACTTGAGAGGCAGGGAGAGAGAGAGAGAGAGAGATCTGCTATCTGCTCTCATTCCCCGAGTGCCCACAGCAGGCAGGGCTGGGCCAGGCCGGAGCCAGGAGCCCAGAGCTCCACCCTGGTTCCCCATGTGGGTCAGGGGCACTGGACTCGAGCCGTCACCTGCTGCACGTTAGCGGGAAGGTGGCAACGGAGCAGCCAGGACTCCCCTGTGGGGGCCTCTGCCCAGCCCAGCCCTAACGGCTACACCAAATGAACCCCTGGATGGTTTTTCATAGCAACCCCCCTTCTGGATCCTGCCCAAGCCAGGGAGCGGGCAGCCCAGCGCCGGAAGCCTTCGGTGGCCCCTGGCCCCGGGGTTAGCGCTGGGCTAACTCCGGCCTGGGAAGGTAGCAGGTGCCTGGATTTCTGCGAGTGTCGTGGGGGTGGTGGGCTGGCCTGCTGGGGACAGACGTCACGGCCGTCTCCCTCCGAGGTGCCGGGCTCTGGACATTCTGCAGGGGCTGAGAGAGGAAGCAGACCCCAGGCCAGCTCCACGCAGGCCTCTAGGTGTCCGGGAGGCATGGGCAGGGGTCAGGAGCTGCAGGGGTGGCACATTGGGCCAGGCGTGGGCTCCTGCAGTGTCGGCCGGAAAGAGCTGGGTCCTTCCACCGTTTCTTTCCCCCCTCGTGGATTTGAGATTTTACAAAACCACCAAACCAAACGACGGTCCTTGCCGAGAGGCCCGGCCCCCGTCCAGGGCGGCCTCTGACGGCCTCGTGGGCAGCCATCCTGGTCTTTTTGTTCTGGCAAGAATTGGCTTCTCCCGCGCAGCGGCTATGCAGGCCCAGCCTGGGAAGGACCCACCGGGATTTGCCTTTTATCCTGGTAGCTGCTGGCTCTCTCTCCAAAGCTTGAGCAAAATTGGGCGCCCACTTTTGTCCCCTCTGGAAAGGCTCCCCGGGTCCCAGCATGCATCTCTGCACCTCACCAATCTGTGGTTAGCGCTGCCTCCTCCCTCCCGCCGTGCCGTGTCTGCCTCTGCCGCCTCCTCCCCTCGGGGTGGGTTTCAGTCTGCTTCAAGGTACACTCGCCTCGTGGCACGGCCAGTCCTGTGTCCAGAGCTAGGGGCCTTGGGGGGCCTGAGGGTGGGGAGGAGAGGGTTGGTGTCAGCTGCCCAGGGGCATGGCCGGCCGCGTCAGGGCTGGGCTGGGCTCTGGCCCCCTGGTGGCAGCAGGGACGGCTCTGCCACCTGCAGGCAGGGGTGGGGAGCCCAGCCTGCCCCCCGCGAGGGCTGTGAGGCCTGGGCAGCAGCAGGAGGCGCTGCCCCCTCAGCCCCATCGTCTTGTGCCCCAGCTGCATCCATTGGGTGAGCCCTACTAGTGTCAGGCAGCTTCCAGGCCCGGCCCACAGCCCCCCCCCCCCGGTGGCTGGTGCTTGCCCTGGGGACAGTGGCTGTGGGGGTCCCAAGGGCTCCCTCACCATCACCAAGCGGACTGGGATGGGATGGGGTCAGCCAGCGAGGCTACTTTGGCTTCTAGAACACTTGGCACCAAAGCTGCCAACACAGCCACGACCCCCGCCTGGGCGCCCAGGGCAAATGCCCCGGGAATGTGTGTCTGCCCTCAGTGGGGTTGTGAGGTCAGGGAAGGGGAGGAGGGGCCCAGCCCCCAGGGTCGCTGTCACTGTCTCAGCACCAGCCTCCTACCTCGGGCAGTGGCTGCCCAGCCGGGTCTGGGTGTGACCTGGGCTGCTTCTCTGTTAACAGAACTGTGGGCAGCGGAGCGTGGCCAGCGCTGGGTGGGAGTTGGGCAGGGGCTGGCTGCGGGTTCAGGGCCTGGGCCCTGCTCTGTGCCTTGGTTCCTCTTCCGAAACACTGCTTCAGATCTCTGTGCCATCGGGGATCCTGGCCTGTGCACCCCTAAGAAGCCACGGTACCCTGTTAGGGACACAGCCCTGCCCCAACCCCGACCACAGAGGCTCCGTCCCTGTGAGTGCTCGCCAAGGCGCTGGCTGCTGTGGGTCTCCGGCCTCCCTGGCCGCCAGCTTGCCTCACAGGGGCTTGAGCCTGGTCTGTGAGCCCGGCCCCCACCTTGTATGTGGAAAGCTGCATCCGGGCTGTGCCCGGCTCCTGAGCCCGCTGGTCAGCCACTCACGGAGGCCATGCTTGGCTCCTACCAGCTTTCACCAGTAGCGGGCGCTGTGGGGACAGCCGGGCCTGCCCTGCCTCAACCTCACTGCTTCCTGCCCTGAACCCAGCTGTCCAGGGCTGTGGGGAGGTCCCATCAGGTCAGTGCCCAGAGACCCTCTGGTTGCTGTGGACCCTGGCAGGGGCCAGTGCTGGGCCAGTGAGGGGCTCCAGGGAGACCCCTGCAGTAGCATAAGGGTGTGGAGGAGGAGGAGGGGCTGGGCTGGCGCCAGGTTCTGAGTCCCTGTCGTGGGGAAGTGGAGCAGGGTCAGGGCCCCGCTGGGAAGAGCCCCACTTGCCCCCCTACCCGGCCCGGTGCCTGAGCCACGGTGCCTGTCTGGAGTCCCTTGTCCCTCAGGACAGCTGGGGGGTGGGGTGGGAGCTCGCCAGCTCCCAGACCCCTACCCAGTGTCCCCCTGGCCGGCAGGCTGTGGACTCCCCTCCCTGTCCCCCATCACCTGCCTTCCTGGCTGAGACCCTAGGCTTCTCTGCTCCTTCCCCACCCCTGCACCCACCCAATCCTGACTTCCTGGCTTCCCACCTGCTCCCGTGTGCACATCCTGCCCACCCACTGCTGTGTCCATGTCCTGCCCACCCACTCCCGTGTCCACGTCCTTCTCTCCCCACCTGCTCCCATGTCCACGTCCTGCCCACCCACTCCCATGTCCACGTCCTTCTCTCCCCACCTGCTCCCATGTCCACGTCCTGTCCACTCACTCCCGTGTCCACATCCTGCCCACCCACTCCTGTGTCCATGTCCTGACCACCCACTCCCGTGTCCATGTCCTGCCCACCCGCTCCCACGTCCATGTCCTGTCCACCCGCTCCCGTGTCCATGTCCTGCCCACCCACTCCTGTGTCCATGTCCTGCCCACCCGCTCCCATGTCCATGTCCTGCTCTCCCCACCTGCCCCCGTGTCCACGTCCTGTCCACTCACTCCATTGTCCACGTCCTGCTCTCCCCACCTGCTCCCGTGTCCACGTCCTGCCCACCCACTCCAAGCTGGTCCCACACCCCCTCGTGGGATGCAGTGCTGTTAACCCCTCCACTGGGGGCGGGTTCCCAGTCTGAGCTCACCCGGACAACCCTCCTGTGCCCGGTCCCTGCCCCCAGGAGATCCTGAGTGCTGGGTGAGGGTCCTCCAGGGCCCCCGTCCTCCTCAGAACAGCGCACACCCTGGGGACAATGGCCTGGGCCTGGGCTGTCCCGGCGCCAGCAGGGGCATCACGCGGCAGCGCCCTGCGTCCGGGTGCTCCGTTCCACCAGCCCGCCTTGGTGCCATGTGGGGGTGCCCCATCCCCCTGACCCGCCGAGCGTCTGCGCCGTTTGTGGAAGGGGCTCTGCGGGAGTCGTAGCCATCCGGGGGGGCCCCGGGGTGGGGAGGCGGAGGCGCTGCCTGGCGCCCGTCACCGCTGAGAGTCCTTGAAGCAGGCTGGAGCCCCAGCGCTCTCGGTCAGAGGGCCTGTGCTCGGCCTCCGCCGTCCTCTGCCCACTGCGGCTCACGCCCTCCTCCTCCTCCTCCTCCTCTTGCACCTCCTCCTGTCTCCCCAGTGCCTCACTCCCCAGGGAACCCCCGCCCTGCCTGTCCTGCCTGCCCCCGCCCGCCCTGGCTGTCTCGCTTTGCTCTGCTTTGCAGCGTGTTGTACGCCGGCCGTGCTGCCGCCGCTGCTCCTGCCGCACACGCTCGGGGTGGCGCTGACCGCGGCCTCTGCTCCCCCAGGGCCTTCGTCTACCTGAGCAACCTGCTGTACCCCGTGCCCCTGGTGCACCGCGTGGCCATCGTCAGCGAGAAGGGCGAGGTCAAGGGTTTCCTCCGTGTGGCTGTGCAGGCGATCTCAGGTGTGTGCGACTCGGCGCTGGGCCGGGGCGGTCCTTGGCTCCGCCTCCTGAGCCCAGGCCCTCCGAGCCCCCTCCTCCCTTCAGGAACAGCCTCCCCACCGCCCCCCTGGGGAAGGCTGCAGACCCCACCCATGGCCCCATTACTGCACCATCTCTGGGTATTGGTCTGCTCGCTTGTTAATGGAACCAGGGTCAGTACATCCCCCAGCGGGACGTCCGCCCGCCCCTCCCTTCCTCACCCACACGCCTCCCTGTCAAGGGCCTTGGCCATGTGGGCACCCTGGGGAGAGCGTGGAGGGGGCAGACAGACTGGGCAGCTGGCTGGACGGGGCGGGGACAGGCTCAGAGGGCCCCAGCCAGGTGTCTCCATGCCCCCTCCCGAGACCCCCCCGCACTCCAAGATCTCCAGGCCTCTCTCCTGAGATGGCTGCAGCCCCCTCGACTTGCGCGTGACCCCCTGCAGATGCCTCAAGCCCCCCCCCCCCCGACACACACTCGGATGCCTGGCCTCCGCTGTAGCCTGATGTCCTGGCCACTTTAGGGGATTTTAGCTCCACCTCAGTGATTCGCTTAACTAACCGGACCCCTCTGCCGAATCCTCATGGGCCCCCAACTTCCGGATGCTCCCTTAGCTCCCCCGGGCGGCCCGGGAGCCTGCTCTCGTCACTGCTAGCCCAGGAGGACCGGGCACATGAGGTGCACCCTCATCCCGCCAGGGCTGCTCCCGCTCTGCGGGGCCTCTCACGGGCCAGTGCAGGCGTCTCCACTCCCCCCTGCTACCCTCACAGTCAGACCACAGTCGTCCCCACCTGCCCCACCTGTCCCCACCTGAGGGGCTGCTGGGGTCCCTGTGGCCGGTGTTGGAGCTCTGTGAGGCTTACTGCCAGGGCCACCAGTCAGGCAGGTGCCCAGGTCGGGGACCCCCAAGTCCCTGTGTCCCCTGGTCACACTGGGAGGTGGCTGCTGCAGGGGCCCTCACCTGCGCCGGGTCCCCAGGCCTCCTGCTTGGGTGGCACCTATACCCCCGCCTGTGGCTGTGGTGCCTGCCAGCTGCAGGCCTGGCTGGGCGGCGGCGGAGCAGCTGCGTGGTGGGGAGGGCTGTGAGACTGTCCCGCGGCCCGTGTGGGGCGCGGGGAGGACATTGGAGCCTGGCACAGACGGTCAAGTGCCCGGGGGTCAGGGTGGCCAGCAGAGCCCAGGTCAGGGGCATCTTGAGGCCGCAGGAAGGGGTGGGGGATTGCTGGAGGCTTTGCGGGCCAGGGCGCGGGGGAGCCGCCTGGGGCCGTGCAGTGACCAGGTGGGTGGCCTCCGAGAGGTGGAGCTAGCAGGTCCTGGGGCGATTGTCCAGCCCCTATCAAAGAGCAGGGCCTCCTGTGGGCCCCGGGCAGCGCAGACTGGGGCGTGTGGGGCCAGAGCCTTGCCGCCTGCTGCGTGTCCTGTGCCCTCACCCTCGGCCTGGCCGCCCGCACCCCCTGGGGACCTGCGGGGCCCTGACCGTCCACCTGGTTTCTCTCACAGCTGATGAGGAGGCCCCCGATTACGGCTCCGGCGTCCGCCAGTCGGGCACCGCAAAGATCTCCTTCGACGACCAGCATTTCGAAAAGGTACGAGAGGGGCTCAGGCTGCGCTGGGCTGGGCCGCTGCCCCGGGCCTCTGGGGCCAGGGTCCTCCCGTGGCTCTGTCCCTCCCTGTTGGGAGCACGCCACGCCCCTCCCCTGGTTTGCAGAGCTCTCCAGATCCAGCCGTGTCCTACCAGGGCCACCCTTGGCCTGATCCGGGCCAAGCACAGGGTGGGAGCTGAGAGGCCCCAGGCTCTGACCGCCCTCCTGGGCCGCTTCTGCTCCGCTCTCCCAGCACCTGCGTTTGCACTGCCCCTCACCCGGCCTCCCTGAGCCTCGTGCTCACGAGAAGGGACCCGACCCAGAGCTCCCTTCTCCCAGGAGAGACTGCAGCGGGGACCCCCATGCTGGGACCCCATGCAGCACCCCCCACTGGGCCCCCCATGCTGGGCATCCCATGCCTGGCCCCTCACAGCACCCCCCACGCTGGGCACCCAACACAACAGCCCCTGCACTAGTGCCCAGTGCCTTGACTGAGGCTGGGGTCTGCCCCAATCCCTTCCCTCTCCTGGAGGGGGTTCTCAGAGCTGGGGACGTGCAGGACAGAAGACTCACCAGCCTCCTGCCTGTGGGGGTGGGAGGGGCCAGTACTGAAGACACAGTCAGCTCCCCAGTCCCCAGTGTCCCCCTCCAGGGCCTCACGGAGCTGAGAGGTGGGAGTGAACCCAGGAGGCCCAGGGAGGGGCGGGGCTGCCTCCCAGATGTCCGCAGGTGCCCGCAGGCCCCAGGCAGCACCGCCGTGGTGGGCTCTGGTTTGTCCCCCCACAGCTCCAGTCCGAGTCCTGCCCCGCCGTGGTGGGAATGTCGCGCTCGGGGACCTCCCAGGAGGAGCTGCGCATCGTGGAGGGCCAGGGCCAGGGCGCGGACACAGGGCCCTCAGCCGATGAGGTCAACAACAACACCTGCTCGGGTAGGTGGCCACCCGCCGCCCGCGGCCCCCCCCCCCCCCGCCCCGCCGCTCTGGAGCGTGGCCGGCAGTTGCCCTTGCTCTCCCCTTGGCCCCGCAGCGGTGCCCGCGGAAGGCCTGCTCGACAGCCCCGAGAAAGCCACGCTGGACGGGGCCCTGGACGCGGCCGGGGACCACCTGCGCCTGAACAGTACCTTCACCTTCCGCGTCACGGTGCTGCAGGCCTCCAGCATCTCCGCCGAGTACGCCGACATCTTCTGCCAGTTCAAGTGAGCGCACGAGGCAGGCTGTGCCCGGGAGGCGGCGGGCCCTGGCCCCGTCCCCACCCGGCCACGAGTCTCCGTCCACTTTGCAGCTTCATCCACCGCCACGACGAGGCCTTCTCCACGGAGCCCCTGAAGAACACGGGCAGGGGCCCCCCTCTCGGCTTCTACCACGTCCAGAACGTACGTCGGAGCCCCTTCCCCTCCCTCCGGCCACCTGCTCGTCCTCCCCGCCCCTGCCTCGCCCTGGCAACACTGGCCTGGTGCCAGGAGCCAGCAGGGGCCCAGGGCCGAGGCCTCCTGTGCCAGCAGGGGTGTGTGGGCTGCGGCCAGCGGCGGGGCCCCCTGGTGGGTTTACACTTGCAGCTGGGATCAGGAGAGACCCTGAGAGCTCCCCACAGCGAGTAGAGGCAGACACAGACACAGTGTCCAGTGCCTTGGTGCCCAGGGTTTGTGCTGAGAGCTGGGCCCTGGCCTGAACCCCAGGGGTGAGGAGGAGGGGGCGGCCCCTGGGCTGCGGAGCCCCTCAGTGCCATCCTGAGAGGTCGGGAGTGACCAGGCAGCTCAGCGTCTCAGCTGGGCTCCCAGCGGCCCAAGAAGGGGCCAGGGCCAGCTAGCCAGGAGTCCCTGGGCGGGGCGGCCACTGCCCGGGGTCCCTGGGCTGAGCCCCTGGATGGGGCAGCCACTGATGGGGCTCCCTGGGCAGCTGGGCGGGGCAGCCGCTGCCCAGTGGGCAGCCTGGAGACCTGCATGAGGCCCACAGGTGGGCGGCTGAACCGCAGGGCTGCGTGTCCTCACGCCCTGGAGCTGGAGTCCCTCCTGAGGCCTCCTGAGCCCCCGAGCCTGCTGCCCCTCCTGCGAGTCTGCGTCGGCCCCCATTGGAGGGGTCTCCCCAGCAGGCCCCGGGACCTGCGGGGGCGGGGCAGTTTCAAGACACAGCCGCCTCTGAGGGGAGGGCCTGGACTTCACCGTGTGAATGGGGAGGGGCTGTTCACCCCTGGGCTCTTGGGGAGTGGACCCTAGACGGTCACTACCAGGGACCCCTCCTCTGTGCCTCGTCTCACCTGGGTGTGTGCCGGGCAGACCCCGGGTGTGGTGCTGGGGGAGGGGAGTGCTGGCTGGGGCCTCCCAGCTGACCTGGGTGTGTGCCGGGCAGACCCCTGGTGTGGCATTGGGGGAGGGGAGTGCTGGCTGGGGCCTCCCTCCCTGTGGACGCGGCGTGGCTGTGCCCTCTCGCCCACAGATCGCGGTGGAGGTCACCAGGTCCTTTGTGGAGTACATCAGGAGCCAGCCCATCGTGTTCGAGGTCTTCGGCCACTACCAGCAGCACCCCTTCCCGCCCCTGTGCAAGGACGTGCTGAGGTCAGCCGCCAGCCCCCCGCGCAAGGCTGCATCCGGGGCTGTGTGCCCGGGGTCGTTCAGACCCTGGCCCTGTGCCTGGCCTCCCTCTCTGGGGGCTGCGGGGCCTCCCACGGAGAAAGAATGGGGGCTGGGAGGGTCTCCGGGGGCTGTGGGTAAGGTCTCCAGCTCAGACCCCCAGGGCGTGTGCAGGGGGGTTGGGAAAGGCAGGGCAGTGACAGGCATTGTTCTGGGGGCCGGGGGCTGCTTCCTGAGGGGCCCCCTCCCAATCCGAGCTGCGGGAGGGCCTGAGTCCGTGGTCTCTCCGGGCTGGACAGAGCAGGAGGGAGACGGGGACAGGATGGGGCCGGCAGCCCCAGGCCCCAGGCCCAGCTGAAGGTGGCCTCTTGCTGGCCCTCTCTGCAGCCCCCTGAGGCCCTCACGCCGCCACTTCCCCCGCGTGATGCCGCTGTCCAAGCCAGGTAGGCGGGGGCCCATCCCGTGGTGCTGCGAGTGAGACCCAGGCCGCGTGGGTGGCGCTTTGCTGGCTGACGGCTCCTGCCGGCCCAACGCCTGGAGTCTGGGGCTCTGTCCAGCGTGTTCCCAGGGTGGTCAGCTGCCCCACGGTGACCCCTGGAGCTGAGCTGCCCAGAGCGGACCTGGTCGGGGAGGGGATGTGGAGAGCCGGGGGAGCTGAGGACAGGGCCGTGGGGCCAGGCTGAGTGCTGGTGCCGTGGGCTGTGGCTGATGTCTGGTGCAGGCCGTGTGGCACAGAGAGGGTCCCCGAGCGGCCCCCTGCAGGCATTTCTGCCTCCCTGCTGCTGCTGGGGGCTCTGGCCTCTGCCCTCTTCAAGGGCCTGTGCCCCGGCGTCGTGGCTGTGGGCTTCTCCCGCTGGGGGTGGGGGAGCCTGGTGGTGGCCTCGACGGCTGTTTCCCCGTGGGAGCTGCCCCCAGCTCGCCCTGGACACCTGCTGAGTCAGGTCTCAGCCTGCGCCTGCCTCCCCTCCTCCAGTGCCCGCCACCAAGCTCAGCACACTGACGCGGCCCTGCCCCGGGCCCTGCCACTGCAAGTACGACCTGCTGGTCTACTTCGAGATCTGCGAGCTGGAAGCCAACGGGGAGTGAGTGCTGGGCGGGGCGGGGCGGGGTGGGGCGGGGCTCCCCAGGAGGGTGATGGGGCGGGGCTCCCCAGGGGTTGTGGTGGGGGCTGGGTTCCCCAGGGGTTGTGGGGCAGGGCAGGGCTCCCCAGGGGTAATGGGGACAGGGCTCCCCTGAGCTTGTGGGAGGAGGGAGAAGGCCGTGGGAACGGGACAGAGGTGGGCCAGGATGGGCCAGGCCTTGTCCCTGTGCTAAGGACAAGTAGATGAGGGTCCCTGCCAGGTGGGGCTGGGGCACTGAGGGTGCTGGGCTCTGGAGTGATTGAGGACATTTGAGTGAGGCTTGAAGGCGGTGGGGGGGGGGTCCGTGGTGCTGCAGTGCAGGGCCAGTGGGGTCCGCCTGGCACCCTGGGAGCCGGCCTGCGCTCATGCCCCAAGGTTGGGGGAGTCCCAGGGGCTGTGCCGTGACTTCACCCAGGTCCCTTGATGGGCCAGGGATGCAGGGAACAGAGACCAAGGCCCTTGGGGGCTGTTGGATCACTCCCGGTATGGTGGGCACTGCGGGGCGGACAGTGCCGAGGGCTCCGGGCAGCCGTGGTGTCCTCCGTCCACCCCGGGACCAGGCAGAGGGGCCGGCCCTCACGCGGATTCTCTTGCAGTTACATCCCCGCCGTGGTGGACCACCGGGGAGGCATGCCGTGCATGGGGACCTTCCTGCTGCACCAGGTGCGCAGCCCCTGCCCACCCCGCTCGCTACCCCCCTGCCTGCCTGGCCCCCAGCACCAACCTGTCCTCTCTCCCGGGGCCGGCAGGGCATCCAGAGACGGATAACGGTGACGCTTCTGCACGAGACGGGCAGCCACATCCGCTGGAAGGAAGTGCGGGAGCTGGTCGTGGGTGAGTGGGGCCGTGGGGGTCGTGGGTGAGTGGGGCCCCGGGGGTTGTGGGTGAGTGGGGCTGTAGGGGTCGTGGGTGAGTGGGGCTGTAGGGGCTGTGGGTGAGTGGGGCCGTGGGGGTCGTGGGTGAGTGGGGCCCCGGGGTCGTGGGTGGGTGGGGCTGTAGGGGCTGTGGGTGAGTGGGGCCATGGGGGTCGTGGGTGAGTGGGGCTGTAGGGGCTGTGGGTGAGTGGGGCCCTGGGGGTCGTGGGTGAGTGGGGCCCTGGGGGTCGTGTGTGAGTGGGGCTGTAGGGTCTGTGGGTGAGTGGGGCCCCGGGGGTCGTGGGTGAGTGGGGCCGTGGGGGTCGTGGGTGAGTGGGCCTGTAGGAGCTGTGGGTGAGTGGGGCCGTGGGGGTCGTGGGTGAGTGGGGCTGTAGGGGCTGTGGGTGAGGTGCGCCGCGGTGGCTGTGGGGACTGTAGAGGCCACGGGGGCTTCCGGGGCCATGGGGGCTGTGAGAGCCACGGGGCTGCGGGGGCCGTGGCCCGGTGACATGCCAGCCAGCTCCGTCCAGCCGCTGTGCCAACCGGCCAAGCCTCTTGGCAGGGAGAGCCCAGGGCAGGATGACGACCCCACTTTGCTTACCCACGGGGTCAGCGTCCGGGGCCAGCTGAGGCCCACGGCCAGGGCGGCCAGGGCTGCCAGTGTCCTCTCAGCGTGGGGCCGGAGTCCGACTCCACGAACAGCACAGCCGCGCACCCAGAAGCTGTGGCTGAGCTGCTGCCCCTGGGGCCCCTCCACGCCACTGTCCCTCCAGGGAGTTACCAGTGTGGGACAGGGGCGCGTTCCTGCTGCCCGTCCTGCCACCCCGGGCACACGGTCTATCCACAGGGAGGGGCTCGGAGCATTTTCTCCATGGCTCTCGGCTCTGGTCTGCCCATGCTGTGAGGACACAGGTGGCGGTGTCTACTCTGGGTGTGCGGTCATGCAAGGCCACTTCACAGAGCACACTCAGCCCTGGGCACTCTGGTGGCCAAGGACCCTGACCCAGCACCAGGCATCCAGTGTGCAGTATTCAGTCAGCCGTCTCAGAGTAAGCTGGTGCACACCGGTTGGCGGTCACTCAGACTGAGCCACAGGGCCGGTCAGGGGTCACTCAGACGGAGCTACATACACCCGGTCAGCGGTCACTCAGACTGAACACACACCCGGTCAGGGGTCACTCAGACTGAACACACAACCGGTCAGGGGTCACTCAGACTGAACACACACCCGGTCAGGGGTCACTCAGACTGAACACACAACCGGTCAGGGGTCAGACAGAGCTACATACACCCGGTCAGTGGTCACTCAGACTGAACACACACCTGGTCAGGGGCCACTCAGGCTGAGCACACACCCGGTCAGGGGTCACTCAGACTGAACACACACCCAGTCAGGGGCCACTCAGACTGAATACACACCCGGTCAGTGGTCACTCATACTGAACACAACCCGGTCAGCGGTCACTCAGACTGAACACACACCTGGTCAGGGGCCACTCAGGCTGAGCACACACCCCATCAGCGGTCACTCAGACTGAATGCACACCTGGTCAGGGGTCACTCAGACTGAACACACACCCAGTCAGCGGTCACTCAGACTGAACACACACCCTGTCAGCGGTCACTCAGACTGAACACACACCCGGTCAGCGGTCACTCAGACTGAACACACACCCAGTCAGGTGTCACTCAGACTGAACACACACCTGGTCAGGGGTCACTCACAGATGGAGCCACACACCCGGTCAGTGGTCTCTCAGACTGAGCTGGTGCACATGGCCAGTGGTCACTGACAGGGCCACAGCCCGTGCACTCCTGGTCACACTGGGGACAGCGGTGTCCTGCCAGGCTGTTCTACCGGCCTCTCCAGACAGGGAAGGGCCCGGGCATCCCTCTGCCTGGGGCCCCTTGCATTGCTGTCCATCCCCAGCGTGGCCCCGTGCCCCTTCCTCCCCCCAAGCCCCCTCCCTGGAAGTACAGACAGGAGTTGGGGTGGGGTAGAGGTTTGGGGGTCCAGTTAAGGGGCCGGCTCTGCCTCCTGTGCTGACCGGGGGCCCCTGGACCCTCTCCTGCTCCCCCAGACTCCGAGCCCACTGTCCACAGCCCAGCCCTGTGCCCACCCGCAGAACTCTGGGATGGCGGGGTTGTGGGAAGGGGTCTTTCAAAGGGGTGGGGCCTGGGGTTGCTGTGCGCCACGTGTGTCCTCTGGGTGAGCAGAGGGGTTGTTAGGGGCACTCCTGCTGGGCGGGGGCTCTGCTGGAAATGCCCCCAGCCCAGCTGTGTTTCTGAGCATAAAAAGAGAAACCACCTCCCCTGGTGGCTGGGGCCAGGCCTTCCTGTCCCAGGTGGGGCAGCTGGCAGGGCGTCTGTTACAGCTCCAGCCTGCAGGGAGGAAGGCCTCCAGGGGCAGGGGCAGGGGCAGCGGGCGCCCTGTGGGCCCTGTCCAGCCGGGGCAGTGACGTCGCCGTCCCTGCAGGTCGCATCCGGAACACTCCAGAAACTGACGAGTCTCTGATCGACCCCAACATCCTGTCTCTCAACATCCTCTCCTCTGGGTACATCCAGCCGGCTCAGGATGACCGGTGAGTCCCCCAGGGCGACAGCCCGGGGACAGGGCCTGGGCCAGCGCCATCCACTGCCTCTGTTACCTGGCCCCCAAGCCCCCCAGCTCCCTGTCTGGGAGCGCCCTCACGTGCCCGTCACCCCGTCCCCCTGGGAGGATGAGCAGGCGACAGTGGGGCCGTGCGTGGCCCAGGCCGCTGCTTCCAGGGACACACTGCTGCAGCCAGTGTCTGGCCTCTGGCGGTGTCCAGGGCCGGGCTGCACTGCCTGGTGGTCAGCCGGGATGGGGGGTGCCCCAGGCCGGCGGCTGGCAGGTGCACCCATCTCCAGGCTCCCTCCAAGGTCCCCACAGCCTGTGCGGCCCCCAGTCGCGTGTGTCCGGGGCGGGTGAGAGCCGTCGTGCCGGAGGCAGGGGTCTGCGACACTGCTTTCCCAGGCTCCAGGACCCCTGAAGGCTCGGCCTGGTCCAGCCCTGCGCGGCGAGCCGGGGCTGGGGCTGTGTCCACGGCTCCCGGGCGCTGCCCTGCAGAAGGGAGTCCTGGGCAGGGGGCGTCCCCCATCCTGGCTTCTAGGTTGGCAGCTCCATTCCACCGTGGGGGCCGAGGCGGGACCTGCTGGGAGGTCCCATGGGGCTGGGGGTGCCGGGCAGGGGGGAGGCTGTCACACAGAGGTGGCAGCATGACGTGCAGGCAGGGGCTCGCCTGGCAGGTGTGGAGTGGGTGGGACCTGAGGACTCCCCGTGGCCTGGAAGACGCAGCCTGGCGTCGCCCACGGTAGAGAGAAGGGCCTGTCGGCCATGCTGTGGCACTGTGGGGCCTGGGCCCTGACTGCTTGGCTGTGACCTCTGACCCTCCCACCGCCCCCCACAACTCCTCAGGGCAACGAGGAGGGGTGCAGTCAGTGGGTGTCTCCCAGGCCCTCCTCCCCTGCCGTCCCCTGCACTGACGGCTGTGCTTGTGGGGTCTGCATAGCCCACCTGCTGGACAAGGCGGGGAGAGGGGTGAGGGGGAGGTGACGTAGCGGCCGGCAGCTCCTCCCATTCCTAGAGGCCACCTCATGGCCTTCAGCTCCCTGGGGCAGCAGGAGGACGTAGGGGTAGGGGGATCTGGCCTGGCTGCTGTGGCCTGTGCTTCGCCCAGCTGGTGCCACCCTGGCCTGGCCCAGACTCCCAGGGACCCTCCCCCGCCTACGGCCAACCCCCAGAGTCCTCCTGCTGCACACAGATGCTGAGGCCCAGAGCCCCGTGCTGTGTCAGCTGCCCCGCTTGTCCAGGGCCGCAGCCTCGCCCTCTCCCAGGCCAGCTGTGCAGCCTGCCCAGCTCTGAGGGTCAGCGTTGGCTCCCCCCGCACTGCCCCTCTGCCCCATGGCCTCCCCCTCTCCCAGGCCCCACTGCCCAGCTCTGAGAACCGGCATTGCTCCCCCACCCCGCACTGCCCCCGCTGCCCCGTGGCCTCTCCCTCTCCCAGACCCCGCTGCCCGGCTCCAAGGGTCGGTGTTTGCCCCCCGCCACTCCACCCTGCCCCCGCTGCCCCACGGCCTCTCCCTCTCCCAGACCCCGCTGCCCGGCTCCAAGGGTCGGTGTTGGCCCCGCGCCACTCCACCCTGCCCCCGCTGCCCCATGGCCTCCCCCTCTCCCAGGCCCCACTGCCCAGCTCTGAGAACCGGCATTGCTCCCCCACCCCGCACTGCCCCCGCTGCCCCGCGGCCTCTCCCTCTCCCAGGCCCTGCTGCCCGGCTCCAAGGGTCGGTGTTTGCCCCGCGCCACTCCGCACTGCCCCCGCTGCCCCACGGCCTCTCCCTCTCCCAGACCCCGCTGCCCGGCTCCAAGGGTCGGTGTTTGCCCCGCGCCACTCCGCCCTGCCTCCGCTGCCCCGCGGCCTCTCCCTCTCCCAGACCCCGCTGCCCGGCTCCAAGGGTCGGTGTTGGCCCCCCCGCCGCTCCGCACTGCCCCCGCTGCCCCGCGGCCTCTCCCTCTCCCTCTCCCTCTCCCTCTCCCTCTCCCTCTCCCTCTCCCAGGCCCTGCTGCCCGCTGCCCGGCTCCAACTCTAACGTGTGCTCGTTTGTGTCTTGCAGGCAGTTTCTTGATTGGGACCTCCCTAGGTATCTCGTGTGCCCTCAGCTTCATCTCAGCCTCCCCCCAGCTGCCCCGCCCCGCCCCGCCCTGGAAAGTTCTGCAGCTTGTGGGCTCCCCGGTCCCGCTCCCCTCCCCGTCTCCTCTATTTTTATTTCCCAAGCTGCTCTTGGGGTCCTTTTTCCTTCTTTGCTCCCCCCACCATCCTGGCTGTCTCCTCTGCCCCCACTCTTGGCTGCTGTGTAGCCTCCCGGCCCCCTAGACGCTGGCTGCCCCCACCCCGCTTCTCCCGCCAGCGCCTCGCCCACCTCGGCTGCCCTGGGCGCAGGCGTCTCCCGCATGCAGGCCGCTGCCAGGCTGCCCTGGGCTGTCCCAGCTCCTCCCACCAGCTCTCCCCTCCCCTGCAGGCCCCGTGGCGGGCAGAGCCAAGAGCACAGGGACGGGGGGCAGGGGGGGACAGGCAGGACGTGGAGCGGGCACTCCCCTCCCGCAGGCACGCGCCTGGGTGGAGCCCAGCCCTGCCCCTCCAGCCACGGCCTCCCTTTGGGAAGTGGCCAGTGAGTCCCTGGACCCCAGGTTTAAACCCACGGCGGGCGCTGGGTCTGAGCAGGAGAGACTGTCCCACTTTCTCGAGTGGGATGGGGTCAGTGAGGCTGGGGGCTGCACTTGGCCCACTGAGAGCTCCCGGGCCGTCACGCCAGGCCCGGGAGGGTGGCGGCCAGTGCTTCGTGGCGGTCAGGCTGGGGGCCAATTCTGAACTGGTGAGAACCTTCCGGCACCAAGGTCAGCCTACAGCTGCGTGACCGGGAGGCGCGAGGTGCGGGCCCCTCCTCGGCAGGTGGGCCCGGGGGCCACGCTCGCGTCACGTGTTGGCTGTGGTGACCGGGACGGGCAGCTGTGGCCGAGGGGCCCCACGGGGCAGGCGGCAGCCCATCTGTGAAGATGCACAGGTGGTGGCCCCAAGCTGCTGCTGGCCAGCAACTGTGCGGCCCTCCCTGTGGACTGTGGCCCGCGAGCAGGGGCCAGCTTTGCTGGTGCCCACACCCAAGGAGGGGGCACAGGGACTTCCCTGCCTGCGCAGTCGGCGGGCGGGCTCCCTCGAGGAGGCAGGGTGACGGCCGGCGCGCGGCTGCGCCAGTGCCTGGAGGTTTCCATGGGCCTGCGGTGACCTGTGGAGTTGGCTGCACGGCTCATGCCCCGGAGGGCACCTGGTTTGGGGGCCGTATTCCGGGCGTGTGGAAGCTTCCATGCGTATTGGCAAGCTCTCACGTGGGAGTGGCCCGTGTCTCGTTCAAGGTTGTTTGCCCAGCGTTCGGGTTCTGTAGCTTTGTGTGCTTGAGGGGGACCCTCGGGCTGCCCCAGGCACCCCCAGGAAGGTTCTAGGTACAGCCAGTAAACCAGGGGCAGAGGGGCAAGCTCGGCACTGCCTGGTTGGCAGCGGCCCTGGGCTTGTGCCACAGGCAGAGGCCTTGGAGACCAGGGCCTGGGCGGGAGCAGAGGACGGCCCTCACAGCCCCGAGATCGGACGCCAGTGGGCAGGGACCCACCCGTGGGGGTGGTTCTGCAGACAAGCAGAGGGGGGACCCTGGGTCGTGCGGCTGGGCTGGCGGCAAGAACGTGGGCATTGTGTGTGTGGGGGGGCAGACCCATGGGGACTTGCCTCCCCCCACCCCAGGGTGTGACAGTAGCGGGTCCTGGCCCCGAATGCCATGGGGTCAGACGAGGTGGCACCCGAGGGCTCTAGGCACAGGGCCTGGCAGCCCACTCAGCACCACTCACGAGCAGTGCGGCTTCTGCACCCGCAGTCAAGGTCCCAGGGGCTGTGCCGGGTCCTGCAGGGGTCCCTGCCCCACCCACAGCCGCATGGGACCGCCAGGGGAGGGGAGCCCACGGCCCCAGCCATGTTTGTGAAGCGCTCTTGTGTCTTAGCTGGGGTCCCAGAGGCTGCTGCCGGGCCAGGGGTCACCTGCCCCGAGCTGGCACGGCGCAGGTTCCTCCCTGAGGTGTTGGCCAGGAGGCCGAGGGGCGCTGAGGCCTGAGGACCCTCACCCACCCCACGTGTTTCCCCAAAGATCGCGTCTGTCCCTGGTGCTCCTCCAGCCTCCCCAGGAAGCGCTGGGGCAGGATCGTGTTGAGACCCCGTGCCTCGGTTTCCCCTTCCGGGCTGGGCCCCGACACTCGCTCACTCACTGAGGAGCTTGGAGCTGCCCGAGAGTGTGCTGGCCCCTCACCTCCACGGCAGAGGCTGACCAATCCTGGCCTTGGGGACACAGCAAGATGGGGCCAGGCTGGCCCTGCATGGGATCCAGGCCCACTGACGACTCCCACAGGCGGGGCCGTGTTGGGGGCACAGCGGAGCTGCAGGCCAGGAAGAGAGGGCTGGGCATGGCCCCGGGTGGGCTGCAGCCCCTGTCTGGCAGGGGGACAAGGACAGCTCTCCGGACACCTGCCATCCTAGTTCCTGGGCCTGGAGACCCCGCATGGTGCCTCTGCCTCCAGCCACCTCCCCACCTGTCGGCCTGGGTCTCCCCTCCTCTGCCTTGATCTGTGACTGTCCCCAGGCCGGGATCCGGGCTCCTGAGGGAGAGGGGCTCCGTCAGGCAGGAGGGGCCTTCGAGGAGCAGGAGGAGGCCTTGCTGACCGGTGCTCAGGCAGGCGGTGGGAGGCTCCCTGGTCGCCGTGGCTTGGCCGGTGCCTGCAGGTCCACTTTGGTCCCCAGAGATGCTGGGGCTCCCCTGTTCTCTGGTCCCTTCTGGCCCAAGGACTCCAGGCTGCGCGGCTGTGCCCAGGTGGCCTCTGTGCGCGTGAGCAGGGTCCCTGAGTTTGCGCTGCCGCACGCCCTGTGCTCAGAGCTGGGATGGCGCCGCTGCAGGTTCCTCCCCCTGCTGGGACCCCACCCCCCGGCTGGCAGAGGGGCTTCCCAGCGGCACCTGAGCTCGGTGCTCGGGTGTCAGACCCGGCCAGGCCTTCACCTCGGGGCACTGTCCTGCTCCGTGTTTGCCCACAATGGCCGGGACAGGAAGGGCCAGGATGGAGTCACTGGGCTGTCATCTGTCCCTGCCTGCTCCCAGCCCCTGCAGGGTGACCACGTGTCCCACCCCAGGTGCTCCCTGGGCAGGACGGGCCTTGTGCTGGCTCAGCCATGGCGTCTGCAGGGTGAGCCTGGGGTCCCCGTTCCACAGGTCCACCTGCCCTGGCCCTGCGGCCTTTGTGGGCGGAGCCCATGGCCTGCCTGTCTGGAATTGGGGTGTGGGAGGGGAAGAGTGTCGCAGGGCACACAACTTTTCAAGCGAGTGTTTGGAGTTCCCCGTGAGGGTCCTCACGTGTGGCAGCCATAAGCCCTGGGGGTCCCACAGCTGGGCTCCTGCCGAGGGCAGCCTCTGTCCCAAGATTGGCTGCTCGGCCCTACGTGGCTGAGCCGACCAGTCGGGGCCAGGATGTGGGCCCGGACACCCTGGTCTTGGGGCCACGCCTCTCCACTGCAGGACTCCGGCCAGCAGGGCGGGAGCCGGGCCCTTGGGCCCCCTCCCTGGCTGCTGGGAAGGCTGCTGGCACAGGCCTGGGGTCAGTGTCCTGAGGAGCAGGCTGGGGCTCGCTGGCCGATCCAGGGGCTGGGGGCTGGGGGCCGGGCGGGGTGCACGGTGTCCATGCGTGGGGAGCACTGGGGTGGGGGAACAGGGCCAGCAGGGCGCTTCAGGACGGTGCAGTAAGGTGGACAGAGGGGGCCCAGCGGGGCAGGAAAGACCTGGGAGGATGGGATGACGGCGGTGGCGCCATGGGCCGCTCTCGTGTCCCTCGCCCACCAGCACGTCGCACCTGCAGGGCGTCTGTGTGAGGTAGGGGCCGCACCGCCAGTCACACAGCAAGCAGGTGACGCCCCAGGCATTTGTGCCCCGCCCCCGTCCCCTGGGAGCAGACCTGGGAAGGCGTGGCTGGGGAGGCGGGGCCGGCACGCACTCAGCGCCCGGGCGGCTGGTTCTGACGTCTCCGTTTCTTCTGTGTGTGCGTGTGTCCTGCCCACCGCCTCACCCCTAGCTTGTCGTTCGGAAGTGACACTAGGTACTGCCTCCCCTCCCCCGCCCCTGCTTGGTCTGTCCCCGCAGCCCGAGTGCCCCCCGCCCCACGTCTGCCTGCTCTCCGCCCTCTCCCGGTTGCCCAGGGTCCTCCTCGATGACGTGTGGCCGGCAGTGGTCCTGCCCCCTCCCTGTGCTCTGTCCCACGTCCCTGACCGTGCCGTGCGGGGGAGGGCACGGCGTGGCACCGCCTGAGCCCCAGCGCAGCCTGGCTCCCCGGGCACCGGGCCGTGTTGGGGCCGTGTTGTGCCCGGCTGTTGGTGTGGATGAGCTCAGCTGTCCCCTGAGGATGCTTGGCCGGAAATCGGGCGCGTGGCCTGGGTGGCCGAGCCGCGCGGCCTGAGGTCTCGGAGCTGCCGCTTTGTGGACTGGGCAGATGTCCCCAAGCAAGCCCGCAGCCTAAGGCCGGGGTTGGAAGGTGAAGCCAACACAGGACAGAGACCCTGGCCGGAGCAGGGCAGCCGCCACCCCCCACCCCAGCGAGCCGGCCCCACGGTCCGTGGGAAGTGCTGGCCTCCAGGGGCAGCCCTGGCTGCCTGGGGAGGGCTGTGGCCGCTGGCTCACGGGCTCCTTATGCATCTGGCTCAGGGTCAGAGGAGAGGCCGCTCCGGGGCCCGCGGCAGGGCAGTAGCCGTGCTGTGGCGGCCGCCCGGCTTCCACGCCAAGCATCCTCCCCTCCGTGCACCTGGGTGGCGGTGGCGGCCTTTGGTGGGCCGGGCAGGGAGTGGCCGTGGAGCCTCCTGACTCGGGCTGAGGCCAGGTGGGGCCCCCCCGTGCCTCGTCCTCCATCCTCCCCGCCCCTTGTGTGCCCCCTCCCCCATCCCTCCTTTTGGGGAGCCTTTGGGGCGTGGCCTGGGGCGGTGCGGGGCCCAGCTCAGCCCGGTCCCCCTGTCACCGCCACCCCGGCTCCCTGGCCATCCCTGCAGCCGCCCCCGTCGTCCGTCTGTCCGTCCACCCGTCTGCATGTCCCCTTCCCAGCTGCGAGCCGCCCACGACGCTGTCTTTCCCTCCCCTCTGCTTCCTCCCAGGACCTTCTACCAGTTCGAGGCCGCGTGGGACAGCTCCATGCACAACTCCCTGCTGCTGAACCGCGTCACCCCCTACCGCGAGAAGATCTACATGACGCTGTCCGCCTACATCGAGGCAAGAGGCCACGCCCAGTGCCAACCCCAGACCACGCCCAGTGCCAACCCAAGACCACACCCAATGCTCACCCCAGACCACGCCCAGTGCTCACCCCAGACCACACCCAGTGCTCACCCCAGACCACACCCAGTGCCAACCCCAGACCACGCCCAGTGCTCACCCCAGACCATGCCCAGTGCTCACCCCAGACCATGCCCAGTGCTCACCCCAGACCACGCCCAGTGCTCACCCCAGAGACCACGCCCAGTGCTGACCCCAGAGACCATGCCCAGTGCTCACTCCAGACCACGCCCAGTGCCAACCCCAGACCATGCCCAGTGCTCACCCCAGAGACCACGCCCAGTGCTCACCCCAGACCACGCCCAGTGCTCGCTGCACACTGTGCTGTCTGCAGTGGCAGCACTCACAGCTGACCCATTCCAGTATCCTTGGTGGATTCATCCTCGGGGGTTGCAAGGTGGCTGCTGTACCACCAGACATTGCATCTGTGTTCCAGGCAGTGCCAAACCAGAAGCACACACCCCCACCTCCCTGCTCTGGTGCCTCCAGTGTGGGGCTCAGCTGGACACAGGCCGTGGAAGCACAGGGAGTGGGGAGGGGAGCAGGTGCCTGCGGCTAGGCCTGTGGCAGGCGCCCCTCCCCGGAGACCAGATCCCCCAGGGACAGCCTGGGCCTGTGCCGCCTCACCGTTGACTGCTGAGGTCAGCCAAGACCTGGGGAGCTCCGCCTGGGGCCCGGGGCCCTCAGCCAGGGCCAGCAGCCGGCCTGGCACTCCGGGAAAACATGAGCCTGCCGGGGGCGTCCTCCATGCATTTTGCGGCTGAAGCTGGCACGGAGCGGGGTCCAGTCTGGTTCTCAGGGGGCCTGGGCCATGTGCCACACTGGAGGGAGACCCCGCAGCCCCCACCCAGGCAGCCACGCCTGGAGTCCCGGGGGAGGCCCCGGGCTCTGCAGGGCAGGGGGGCCCGCGGGCGCTCACCGAAGCCCCGCCCCGCCCCCGCAGATGGAGAACTGCACGCAGCCGGCGGTGATCACCAAGGACTTCTGCATGGTGTTCTACTCCCGCGACGCCAAGCTGCCCGCCTCGCGCTCCATCCGCAGCCTGTTCGGCAGCGGGAGCCTGCGGGCCTCCGAGAGGTGAGCCCGGGCCTGGGTGGGGGTGGGCACCCCGCCACCCCTCCCCTGTGCCAGGCCCCCGGCCCCGGCGTGCAGCGGGACTTGAGCCCCGCCGGTGTGTCCCCCCCTCTGTCCCTGCAGCAACCGTGTGACGGGCGTGTATGAGCTCAGCCTGTGCCGCGTGGCCGACGCGGGCAGCCCAGGTAGGTGTCCGCCCCGTGCCCTGGGCCGGGCTGCTCCTCCCCCACCCCGACTTGCCCTGGGGAGGGGGCGCCGTGCACAGAGGACCCCGGGGGGTGAGAGTCACAGCCAGGCCTGGCCCGCGGGACACAGGCTGTGTCGCTTCCTGCAGACAAGGCCAGCGAGGCCTTGCGGCCCCAGGCTGAGCTCGGGGCCTGGGGAAGCCGATTTTCAGAGGGGAGGGGGTTTCTGATGGCCGTGGGTGGGGCCGGCGCCTCCTTCCTCTGTCCAGGGATGCAGCGGCGGCGCCGGCGGGTGCTGGACACGTCTGTGGCCTACGTCCGTGGTGAGGAGAACCTGGCCGGCTGGAGGCCCCGGAGTGACAGCCTCATCTTGGACCATCAGTGGGAGCTGGAGAAGCTGAGCCTCCTGCAGGAGGTGAGGCCCTGGGGTCTGGGGGCTGCAGGAGGTGACCCTGCGGGGTCTGGGGGCCGCAGGAGGTGACCCTGCGGGGTCTGGGGGCTGTAGGAGGTGAGGCCCTGGGGTCTGGGGGCTGCAGGAGGTGACCCTGCGGGGTCTGGGGGCCGCAGGAGGTGACCCTGAGGAGTCTGGGGGCCGCAGGAGGCGACCCTGAGGAGTCTGGGGGCTGGGCCCTGGACAAGCAGCCACAGCCTCGTGACCATGTCCCCATGACCTGTCCACAGAGCGAAAGAGGCAGCCCAGAGCCCGGTGCCCAGCAGTGGGGGTGGGGGTGGGGCGTCGGAGGCTGCCCCAGGGTGGGGCCAGCGGCCCTCAAACTGCCCAGCAGGGGCTCCAGGGCACAGGACAAAGCAGCAGAGATCATTTCCCATTCCCGGGGGGCTGCGGGAGGCGGCGACAGGGACAGGAGCCTGGGAGGGGTGCGGGAGGCCAAGCCCAGGGGCCGAGGCGTGGACCTGGGCAGTGAAGCGGGGGGCCCGAGCCCACCTGGCCCTTTGCCTCGCTGGCAGCCCTGCAGAGCAGCACGGACACACACGTGCACCTGCCCACGTGGCGGCCGGGAGGGAGGCGCTGGGCGGGACCGCGGGTCTGTCCACTCCTCTCACTCCGAGCGCCGGGCTGCTGACCTTCCCGGGGGCCGGAGGCTCAGCAAGGCCCCCTCCCTCCGTGCCTCCTGCGCAGGTGGAGAAGACCAGACACTACCTGTTGCTGCGGGAGAAGCTGGAGACCGCCCAGCGGCCCGGCCCCGACGTGCTGTCCCCGGGCTCCAGCGAGGACTCGGGGTCCTGCGGCTCCTCGGGCGCCTCCTCCCCGCTCTCGCCCCTGGAGGCCCCCAGCGAGAGGCAGCGGGAGCTGGCAGTTAAGGCAGGTCACGGGCCCGCCCACTTTCCCCGGTGCTGCCGGCAGCCCAGCCTGGTCCGGCTGACTCCGGTCAGAGCCACCAGGAGCTGGGAGCCGCGGGGGTCCGTGCAGTCCCCGAGCCTGCCGGCCCAGCACCCCCGCCCGGCCTCCCACGGCCTCCCCGGGGGCGCCCTCTCGTGACTGCCGGTGCTGCCGGGGGTCTCAGCACCCCGATCCAGAGCAGCTTCCTGACCCCTGACCTGCTGTGCTCCGCAGTGCTTGCGCCTCCTCACGCACACGTTCAACAGAGAGTACACCCACAGCCACGTTTGCATCAGCGCCAGCGAGAGCAAGGTGGGCGCGCGCAGCTCCCCGGGAGGCCGTGGGGGGCGGGGCCTGAGCCGGGCGGGCCTCCCACGCTCTCCCGGCCCTCGCCTGTGCGGCCTGGCCCTCCTCCAGCCGCCTCCGTGCTGGCTCAGCCCCGCCCAGGTCCTGCGGAGCCAGGCGGGGGCTCCCACCTCTGCCCCGCCCAGCTGTGCCCACCCTTCCTGGGGGAGGTGAATCAGCCCCCTCCCAAGTGCCCTGGGAAGGACAGGCCAGGGTGCAGGGGCTAGGAGAGGGCGGACGGGCACGGCCTGGGGGGGGCCAGAGACCGCCCCCTCCCTGGCCCCTGCAAGAGGTCTCTGCCCTCCACAGCTCTCGGAGATGTCCGTCACCCTGCTGCGAGACCCATCCATGTCCCCCCTGGGGGCCGCCACGCTCACCCCCTCCTCCACCTGCCCCTCCCTGGTTGAAGGGCGGTACGGTGCTGCCGACCTGAGGTGAGAGAGCGCCTGGTTCCCGCAGAGGCTTCCGGAGCCTGGAGTCCACGGGGGACAGTGGCCATGCCCGGGGGCAAGAGGCCGGGTCTGAGGATGGCCACGTGGGTTCAGCGGGGCCTGGTGCCGTGGGGTCTGCGGCCCCTCCTACAGGTGCACCTGCGCCCCACCTCGACTCGGGCAGCCGACGGACAGCTTGTGCTGGGTCGGTCAGTGTCTAAACCCTCAGTGGAACAGAAAGATCGCAAGACAGACCTCAGAGGCTGCCAGGCCTGGGGCGCGGCCAGGCCCCCAGTCACTGCGATCCCAGCGTGGATCCCAGGACATGCACAGCCGCCCGGGCATGGCCAGGCAGATCCCGAAGGCTGCCCCCAGCACCCCCGGGGGGGCGCGGCCCAGACGCCAGGAGCCCCTGGCGGGAGGCAACAGCTTCCCTCCGCCCTCCAGGACCCCACAGCCCTGCTCCCGGCCAGCCAGCCCAGAGCCCGAGCCCGGACCAGAGGCCGACGCCAGGAAGCTCCCCTCGCCCGCCCGGGCCCCGGAGGCCGACAAGGAGCCGCAGCGCCTGCTGGTCCCTGACATCCAGGAGATCCGAGTCAGGTGTGTGGGGCCCCGGGAGAGTCAGGGGCAGGGAGGGCCCGGCTCCGGGGCTGCACGGGAGCAGCCCCGTGGCTGCCCAGGAGGGCCCGAGCCAGCAGTGTCCCCTCCCGGCAGCCCGATCGTCTCCAAGAAGGGGTACCTGCACTTCCTGGAGCCGCACACGGCCGGCTGGGCCAAGCGGTTCGTGGTGGTCCGGCGCCCCTACGCCTACATGTACAACAGCGACAAGGACGCCGTGGAGAGGTTCCTGCTGAACCTGGCCACCGCCCAGGTGGAGTACAGCGAGGACCAGCAGGCCATGCTCAAGGTGCGCCCGGCCGCCGCGGGGGCCCGACGGGCTTGGACGTTCTCCCGTGGGATGGCCCTGGGCCCTGCCCTCCTCCTGGGGACTCCTGAGGCCGGGCCGTGAGCCCTGCAGGCGTCCCGGCTCCTTCAGGCTGGCTGGGGAGAGCCGGCTGGGGGTGGCCAGGGCGTCCCTGCAGGGGGTGGAGCCCCTGTGGGGTGGACGTGGAACCCAGCCTGCCACCCGTGCCCCCACATGTTGGGCAGAGGCGTGGAGAAGGCGCCGGAGGGGGCCTGCTGGGCACGTTGTTGGGGGGCAGTCCTGGGGCAGGGGTGCTGACCACGGAGGCTTCTAGAAGGGCGTCAGGACCCTGTGCGGGGTGAGGGCGGCCGTGGTCCCTCGGTCCACGCAGGATCAGGCTCTGCTGTCTCCTTCCCACTTCCTCACCCCAAGGGCTCCCCTGCCGCCCCTCCCCCCACAGAGAGGCCCCTCCCCCGCTCACCAGGCCTCTCCCCACAGACGCCCAACACATTCGCCGTGTGCACCGAGCACCGTGGCATCCTGCTGCAGGCCAACAGCGACAAGGACATGCACGACTGGCTGTATGCCTTCAACCCCCTGCTGGCCGGGACCATCCGGTACGGCGGAAGGGGCAGGGGAGGGGAGGGGAGGGAGGACCATAGAGGAGGAGGAGGAGGGAGGAAGGAGGGGTGGGGGAGGGAGGACCATAGAGGAAGAGGAGGGAGAAGGAGGAGGGAGGAGGAGGAAGGAGGAGGAGGGAGGAGGAGGAGAAGGGGCCGAGGCTCCTCCCAGGCCCTCCCCCTGGGAGGGAAGGGGAGCGGCAGCAGAGTCAGGTGGCCTGGGGTGGGGGTGGGGTGAGGTGGGCAAAGCCCTGACGCCTCCCTCCCTGCTGACCCCGCAGGTCCAAGCTGTCCCGGAGGAGGTCTGCACAGATGAGGGTCTGAGTGGCGGCTGTCCCACGGCCATCAAGGCCGCTCCCCGCCCTCTCCCTGTCTGTCCTGTGGTCGCCGCCCGCCCCCTCCCCACCAGCAGGGCAGGGTAGGGCGGGGTCGCTGCGCTCTGGTATTTTTTTAAGCATAGACAGACATAATTAATCCACCTTAGTGACACCGAGTCCGCCCAGAAATCGAGTTCTATTTATAAGTATTTATTTCGGAGGCCCCATGTAGCCGTGTAAGAGCCTTGTGTCCCCATGCACCCCTCACCCCTCGGGGACGCACAGAGGCGGGCGGGGGCGGGCACTGGGCGGGACCAGGCCCCTGGTCGTCGGCACCCCCTGGGGCGTGTGGGGCTCCCAGCCACGCAGAAGAGGCAGAGCCCACCTGTCACCCGGCGCCCCATCACCTGGGCAACACCTGTGATGTCCCTCTGGGGCAAGGCCAGCAGGTCTCCCTGGGACGGGCTGGGAGGCAGGTGGCACGGGGCCCCAGGGGATGTGCTGGCTGGGGGCTGGAGGGAGAGGTTCAGGGTCCCCGGGTGGCCCGGTGGCCCTGCAGGAGTCCTGTGTTAGGGTTTAGAGCTGGGACAGGTCTGGAATCCAGGGTCCCTCCAGGGGTGCGGGGGCCTGGCCTCCCCAGATGCAAGGAGCAGCCTTGGCTGGCAGCCAGCAAGGGGGCCCTCCTCCTCCAGGGAGCCCCCTGCCTCTGCCCCAGGGCTATTTCCACACACCCAGGCCCCCGGGACCCCAGCTGAGGAGAAAGAGCAGAACCAAGCCACAGAACACCCTCCGTGCCACCGCCACCGAAGCCAGCCACCCTCAGGGCCTCGAGGGTCCACGCCAGGGCTGGGTGCTCCTGCCACCTAGCGTGGAAGAGCCAGAGGTTCTGAGACAGCCCCTCCCATCCAGGCTGTCCCCACGTGGCACTGATGTGGCCCGAGGTGTCCACAGCACTGAGGCTGTGTGGGTGCACCCACCTGCACCCGTCAGCCAGATGAGGCCAGGGTCCAGGTGGCTTCGAAGGGGGCTGAGCTTGTGTTGGGGGAGGGGAGAGGAGGTGGCGGCTGGGGCAGAGCGCCCCTGCCTCCTGGACTGAGTCCACTGGGTGGGGGGCGGGGTGTCTGGGTGCCCCAGGGAGTGGAGATGACTGAGCAGTGTGGATGAGCATAGGACGGCTGCCCAGCGGCGGGGAGGAGACGCGGGTGGAGCGAGCCGCTCCCAGCACAGCGGCTCCCAGGCATCAGAGACAGGGTGCAGGCCACCGTGGCCACTCAGGTCTGCCAGCCTGAGTCAGGCCCGGGGCCCAGCACGTGGGCGTCTGAGGCCAGCCAGCCTGCAGGCCACCCGCCGAGGGAGGGAGCCTGGGAGACTCCTCCACCACCCGTGCCCGCGGCCCTGGAGCACCTGGGAGGGGGAGCCAGAGTGCGAGTCCCCCAGCCCGGAGCTAACGGAACACCTGCCGTCCCCGCGCCCGCCCGGCCCACCGACCTCCATGCTGAGAGAGCTGAGGACTGGGCCGGGGCCGGCCTGGGGCCCCCTGAGGAGAGCGGGGCTGGCTGGGGCTGGGGTCCTCCTCGCACGACCAGGTGCAGCCTTGTTCGGGGTGGGCAGCCATCCCCCCTGGCGAGGCGAGAGGGTAGCACTGGGCTCCACGGGCCGAGTGGGCAACTCCAGGCCTCGCCCTAGAGTCGCCCAAAGCCGGCCAACCACACGCACACACCCAGGGGTCCTGTCGTCCTGGCCCCTGGCCCCCACAGCAGCCCCCAGGGACCCCCAGTGCAGCTGATGTCACAGGTGCCCGCCCTCCTGCTGGGCCTGTGTGTCCCCGAGCCCGTCCCGCCCGTCCCCCCTTGTACATACGTGGTTGCCGTGTGCACACCCAGACCGCACCCCATGCCGCGCCCCGAGTGTTAGCTATAGACCCCCGTTCTGTTCTGTGCACCTAAGACTCTGTCCAATGACGAAATAAACATGGCTCTCGTGCAGCACACGCTGTGGGTCTCCTTGTGCCTTCTGTGGGGCCCCGCCTGCCACCGGGGTGGACACCTGCCCACAAGGACGCCCAATCGTGGGGATGCCTGCCTGCGGGGGACACCCGTCCATGGCAGGGGACATCTGCCCATGGGACGCCTACCCACAAGGGCACCGACAGGGGATGCCTTCCCACTCCCTGGCCCTCTGGAACCTTCTGCCGTGGTCTCCACGGGTCCCAGGAGCGCGTGGGCTGAGCCAGGGCAGTCACAGCGTTCCCGAGCTCGGTGCATGTGGGTGTGGCCCTGAGCTTTGCCGATGCTGTTTCCCCCAGACTCACCCCTCGCTCTCCATCTGAGCATCACACGGTAATAAGGCCATCGGAGGGACTCGGAAAAGCCGTCTGGGCTCTGGGGGTGCAGCAGTGGAGCGAGCACTGGTTCTCTCTCCGTCCCTCTGCCACTTGGCCTTTTCACTCACTCACTCACTCCAGCACGCAGAGCGGCTGCACTGGGCACCAAGAGCTCCTTGCCGCAGCCGTGGGCACCACGCTCCGCCCAGGCACGTGCTGCCGCCTTCTCCAGCCTCCCAGGGCTGGTGCTGTCCCGTGGACAGGGACCCTGGCTCCCCAGAGAGAACCTGCAGTCCCAAGCACACACACCAGAGGGGGCAAGAGAGCAGGAGCCACTGGACAAGACACGGGGCAGGGGCAGGGACGGGGCGGGGGAAAGGGTGCCAGGGTCTCGGCAGGCTGACTGCCCCTGCCCTCCCCTGCCCGCCTCTGCTCACCCCTGCCCACCCCTGCCCACCCAGGCTCCCCGCGACTCCAGCTGGCTGGGCCAAGGAGCTGTGGGCCTGGGCTCTGCCTCTGCAGCCTGGGGCCAGCACTGGTGTCGTGGGCCATTCCGGTCTGTGCTGCTCTCGCCTTGAGTGGTTTGGGCCACAGGACTTGTCTGCTTCTGTCCTCTTTTTCCCTGGTTCTGAAGCACTTTTAAAGACTTATTATTGGAAAGACAGAGCCACAGAGAGAGGAGGGGGGAGAGAGAGAGTGAGACAGAGAGAGAGGTCTTCCATCCGCTGGTTCACTCCCCAGATGGCCGCAATGGCCGGAGCTGGGCTGATCTGAAGCCAGGAGCCAGGAGCTTCTTCTGGGTCTCCAGATACATTAGCAGAGAGCTGGATCAGAAGAGGAGCAGCCGGGACTCGAACCGGCGCCCATATGGGATGCGGGCACTGCGGGCGACGGCTCAGCCCACTGCGCCACAGCGCCACTCAAAACAGCTCCGGAGTTCTCAGTGAGCTGGGGGCTCACCTTCCGTCCGCGGTGAGCGTCTCGAACACTTCCCCTGGTTTTCCACTTGTCTGTGGCGGGGTCCTGGCCACGTGTGGGGGTCGGGCCTGCTCCTGCACAGCCGACAGAGAACCCCTCCCCCGGTGTGCATGCTCCCCACATGGGCCCCCTGGGCGCTCACCCCGGGGTGAGGTACAGAATGGTCTCCCCCAGGGGGTTGCGAGCCTCCGCCAGCCGCGTGCCGGCCCTGGGCGTGGGTTGTATCTTGCGGGTTTCTCGCCTCGGGCCTTCTGCCGGGCGCCCTGGGAGAAGGGACCCTGGGAGCTGGCTGCACCCACGCCCTCCCTTCCCTGGGGGCTGTGGTGAGTCTCCGGGGCGCGGTGTCATAGCTCTGGTTCTCGCCGTATGCAGCCCACGGTCACCGCTGTGCTGTCCCCGTGCCAAGCATCTTGTAGGTGTCCCCCGGGCTGTCGGTGACGCCGTCTATAAACAGAGCTGGTTCTGTTTCTTGCTCCCAGTCCTGGGGTCCCCGCTGCGGTCACGCCCGCCGGGTGGGCTTTGCCTGTTGGGAGTGCGGGGGACACGTGTGTGCGTGCCGTGTGTGTGGAGACAGCGTGAGGCACCAGCTCTGTGTCCGTCAGCTTTTTTGTGAACAAGGAAGGGACGTGGTGTGGGAGACACTCGCACTGCTTGGGTTTCTCGTGGGCTTTACTCCTGCTGCCTGGGGGGCTCCTGAGCACCCCCACTGCCCCCAAGCTGCTCACCATTGGAAGCCACACGCTGGCAACTACGTAGGGTCTTAGTCTGTAAGCAAGAGGCAGGAGGGAGCTGCACACAAGGTCACGGCAGGGTCACAGCAAGGGTTTATTGCCAGAGCCCAGCTTCCCCAGCCCGGGCTCCCAGAGGTCCCAGGGCCCAGCCCTCGGCCACTCCATCCTCCACCGACGCGCAGCTCAGTGGGCGCGGAGGGCAGGCTGCCCCGCCCTGCCCCGCCCCCACTCCCGGCCCAGGTCTCCGGAGCTTGGGGCCGGCTTCACTCTGGGGCTGCGGTACTTGCTCCTCTGCCTGTAGAGCAGGTTGGTCTGGAAGAGGCGGGGGAGGCGGCCCTGGTGCAGCAGGACGGCCAGCACCATGCCTGCAAGAGACCAGGTCAGCCGGGAGTGCAGACCCCGGGATGGGGACCCAGGAAGGGGGTCCTGCGGGGGCCCTGGGGAGCTCCTGGCAGGCCACTCCCCTCGGGAGGTGGGTACAGGCCCGGCCCGGGCTCCTCCCTCAAGGCCTGGAGCCTGTGTGGCCTGCCTCCTGCAGGGGGCGCTCTGAGCTGGGAGGCTGACGAGGCCTGGACCCCTGTTCGGCCCACACCCCAGGAACCGAGAATCCTGAGTCCCCCGGGCTCAGCGTCCCTGAGAAGGGCACAGACATCTCTGAGTCCAGAGACCCCTTACCAGGACAGGAGTTCTGCAAGGGGCCATGGGGCCGGCGCCGTGGCACAGCGGGTTAGGCCACCGCCTGTGACACTGCCATCCCACATGGGCACCGGGGCCAGTCCTGGCGGCTCCACTTCCAATCCAGCCCCCTGCTTACGTCCTGGGAAGGCCATGGAGGGTGCCCCAAGTGCTCGGGCCCCTGTGCCCACGTGGGAGACCTGGGCGACGCTCCTGGCAGCGGCCTGGCCCAGCCAAGGCCGCTGCGGCCCTCTGGGGAGTGAGCCAGCGGATGGAAGACCTCTCTGTGTCTCCCTCTCTCTGTTACTCGCACTGTCACATAAGTAAATAAATCTTTAAAAAAAAAAAAAAAGAAAAGCTTTAGCCCGACATGGCCCTAAGCCCCAGGTGGCTGGTGTCCACGTGGACACGCAGAGGAGGAGCCGTGTGCGGAGGGGTCCAGGGCAGCGAGGGTGACCAGCAGCCACCAGCCGCAGGAGGAGCCGAGCCTGCCGAGCCCTCCTCCCGGACGTGGGTCCTCCAGGGTCCAGTGACACAAGCGCCCAGGGAGCCACTCTGGGGTCCACCCTGGGGCCCAGGACGGGGGTGCTCAGGGCTCGGGGACAGATCTCAGCCCAGACGCCGATGCCAGCCGGAACGCCCTTCAAGGGCTGTGGGATCAAGGCCCCTCGTCTCCGGGAAGGGCACTGGGGTGCACTGCCAGGGTCAGGTGCACCCCCAAGAGATGTTGTGAACCCACACAGGGTGGGGGGCAGAGCTGGAGCAGCGGGTGAGAGGTAGGGCTCACTCCTGGGAAAAGGTGGGTGCCACAGGGAACCCCTGAGTCGTGACGGAAGACGGTGGCTTCGGGTGAAGGAGAAGCACCCAGGATGCTCCGGAGAGGAAGCCAGGGGCTGGCAGGAGAGGGACAGCCAGCCCAGAGCCCAGCCCCCACAGCTGACCCGGGAGGGACAGCCAGCACAGAGCCCAGCCCCCACAGCTGACCCGGGAGGGACAGCCACCCCAGAGCCCAGCCCCCACAGCTGACCCGGGAGGGACAGCCAGCACAGAGCCCAGCCCCCACAGCTGACCCGGGAGGGACAGCCACCCCAGAGCCCAGCCCCCACAGCTGACCCAGGAGGGACAGCCAGCACAGAGCCCAGCCCCCACAGCTGACCCGGGAGGGACAGCCACCCCAGTCCCCACAGCTGATCCGGGAGGGACAGCCAGCCCAGAGCCCAGCCCCCACAGCTGACCCAGGAGGGACAGCCAGCACAGAGCCCAGCCCCCACAGCTGAGCCGGGAGACACAGCCACCCCAGTCCCCACAGCTGATCCGGGAGGGACAGCCAGTCCAGAGCCCAGCCCCAGCCCCCACAGCTGACCTGGTGCCACTGGGGTCCCTCTTCCCTGAGGCTCCACCCTCAGCAGCTCCAGCCCGGGGGGTGAGGCCCTCAGGGAGCCCCCCAGCAGGCACCATCTCCGCATATTCCCCCAGCACCACCTGCGGCCCTGGCTCCACCTCCTTCTGATGGGGCCAATCACAGCCCCTCACTGGTCTCGGGGTGACCCTGGACCCCAGGGAGGCAGTGCCTCTTCACGTGTGCTGCCCCCGCAGCCCCTCCCCAGGGCCAGCCCAGTCCCTTCCCTCACCTGTCAGGGGGCCCAGCCTGGTCCCTGCCCTCACCTGTCCAGTACACCTGTGCTCACCCATCAGGGGGCCCAGCCAGTACACCTGTGCTCACCTGGCGGGGGCCCGGCCCAGCCCCTGCGCTCACCCATGGGGGGCCCAACCCGGTCCCTGCTGCCACCCATCAGGGGGCCTGGCCCTGTCCCTGCGCTCACCTGTCAGGGGGCCCGGCCAGTACATCTGCCCTCAACTGTCAGGGGGCCTGGCCAGTACACCTGTGCTCACCTGTCAGGGGGCCCAGCCAGTACACCTGTGCTCACCTGTCAGGGGGCCCAGCCAGTACACCTGCGCTCACCTGTCGGGGGGGCCTGGCCAGTACACCTGCGCTCACCTGTCGGGGGGCCCGGCCAGTACACCTGCGCTCACCTGTCAGGGGGCCCAGCCAGTACACCTGGGCGTATTCCAGCAAGCTGTTTCCTTCGCAGTGGAAGGTGAGTGAGGCAGCCAGAGCAGGGTTGAAGAAGGCAGACGTGTAGGGCCCGGCTGTGGACAGGCCAGGCAGTCCTGAGGCTGGTCCCGCCTGCAGTGGCCCCTGGCCCCCCAAACCTACCCACAGCCAGGGAGTGCCTGGGACAGGGTCTCACCCGGGGCCACGTCTGCCACAGCTGGGGGCAGGGAGGCGGCTCTCAGAGAGGCCAGCACAGGAAAGGGGGATGGGGGACAGAGCTGGCAGTGTCCTCAGCCCAGCACAGCGGGGCCACCGCTAAGAAGCAGGGAGAGTGCCAGGCCCAGGCAGGTGCAGACCTGGGTGCACAGACCCACCCCGTGAGGCCAGCCCACTGGCCCTGGGGTCCTCCTGTGCCGAGGCAGGAGCCCAGGCAGCCTGATCCCCTCCCAACCTCCACGTGGGCCTCCCATGGCCTTGGCGCTCAGTATCTGGGGCTGGGTGCTGGGTGCAGGGTGCAGGGTCCTGAATGACATCAGTCCTGAGAGTGGAGACTGGGAGGGGCCTGGGCTGCAGCCCTCCTGTGGGATTAGCCCACACCCAGCACCCCTGTTCGGGGGAAGAGCCTGGGGCACCTGGGTCAGCCTGGGTGGGGGCAGGGGGGCCTGGCCCAGGGTCTCTGGGTGGGGGCAGGGGGGCCTGGCCCAGGGTCTCTGGGTGGGGGCAGGGTGGGCCTAGCCCAGGGTATCTGGGTGGGGGCAGAGAGCTCAGCTTCACCAGCTGGAGGGCCCAGTGGGAAAGACAAGAACCGGGTGAGAAGGGGCTGGGGCTTTGTCACCTGGGGAGGGGTGGTGGCCAAGGTCACAGGGCCCCCACACCAGAGCCTGGGGAAGCTTCCCCGGGCCCCAGGCAGAACAGGAGCAGCTGGGCGCTGGGGAGAGGCACAGCCGGGTGGCCTGGCATCCGGTCTGGGAGCCGCCTGGCCTCGGCAAGCTCGTGGACGCCTGGCCAGCTGGGGCTCCCAGGGGGCCCGTCGGGAGGGAAGGGGGCTCACCTGTGTAGGCCACGACGGTGACCAGCAGGGCCAGGGCGGGCACCCTGTAGGCGGGGAGGCTGCGTCGCAGGCACAGCAGGGTCAGGTGGAAGACGAAGGCGCAAGCGGCCTCCACCAGGGCGCCGTGGGGCACGGACGTGTGCAGGGCGGAGCTGCAGTGCCCGGCCAGGAGGCTCTGCAGCAGGTGCAGCTCACTGAGCTCCCAGGCCCAGCAGCGCAGCGTCAGCGCGTGGGCGGCCTGCACGCCCAGCCCCTGGGCCGCCAGCTTCAGCAGCGTGCTGGCCAGGGACGCCTCGGCCATGAGGAGCTCCTGCAGGGCCACGGCCGGGTTGGCCGAGGCCCCGTCCAGGGTGGCCCCGTGCACCAGGAACAGCAGGAACAGCAGGGTCAGCAGCACGTCAGGCCCGAAGCCCCCGGCCCAGGGCCCGAGTTCCGCCAGCCCCCGCAGCTCCAGGCAGCAGGCCGCCAGCTGGGCTGCGCCCGCCGCCTCCCGGGCGAAGCAGGCGTAGGCGCCCGCGGGGAGCAGGGCCTTGGACGCCCTCCTGGCCGTCTCGCAGAGGGCGCAGGTGCCGAGGAAGAAGCAGAGGGACACGTTCAGCCCCGTCATCGCGCGGACACCGGGTGACTCGTGGCAGGCCCGGGGCGCCGGAGCCGTGGGAAAGGCGCAGCTGCACCACCTCCGCCCTGTGCACGCCCACAGAGACCCGCCCCCGGGGCGTGGGACACAGCAAGGCCCAGCTCGCCCGCCCCCCAACCCCCGCCTGCCCCGGGTGCCTGCTCTCCCCAAGCTGGCAGCCACGCTCCGTGACTCACCAGGACACCTGCTCCTCCCCGACCTGCGCCGGCCACACGGGGCCAGGGCATCCCCCCTGCACCCGGCCTGTGTCCTCACCGCAGCACCACCCGCCCTCGGGGTCAGCTGCACTGGCGTCAGCAGGCCCCACAGTGACCCCACGAGGGAGCGGCAGGGGTGCAGAGAGTGGGGAGCACATGCGGTGACTGCCCCAGGGTGACCCCAGCACTGCCTCCGAGGGCCACCCTGGACCGAGCTGTTTCCAGGGCAGAGGTTGCCAGGGAGGGGGAGCGTGGGGGGGGGGAAGCCCAAGCCTCCTCCCTGCTGCCCCTCCGGGGAGGTGGGGAGGCCTGGGGAGGGGTGTGTCGGGTGGGAGGGCAGGGCCCCCTGGGAGGGGGCAGCTAGCGAGTGGGCAGGGCAGCGTGGTGGGGAGTCAGGCACACACCCAGCTGCCTCCTGTCCTGGCCGATGGCTGGTTTGGGATGGGAAGGCCGGGCCCTGAGCACAGAACCAGTCTCTGAAGACTGAAGGCAGGGCCCGGCGTCACCCCCGCCCCACACTGAGCCCACCTGGAGGCCCCACACCTCCTTGAGGGCTGTGGACAGCACTGAACCTGCTGGCCTCTTGTGCCCCGGAGTAGAAGGCCCGAGACTGGTCGGAGACAGCTGCACCCCAGCCTGATCCCCGGCGGCTGCCCATGGCCGGGGTCCTGAGCGAGTGGGGGGAGGGTTGGGTGCTCGTTGGGGAGCCCCTCCTAGGCGCCCGTGCTGGCCCCATCCAGAGCCCTGGGTCGGCCGCTGCTGAGCTGCCCCGAGCCCCAGCAGAGAACTGGGCCCCCACAGGGCACAGCAGCAGCGGCTGGGCACCCCGAGGGCCAGGTCCGCGGCCAGGAGGTGGTGACCCTGGGGGGCCAGTCCAGGGAAGGGAAGCAGCAGGCTGGCCCGGCAGAGGGTGTGGCACGGCTGGTGAGGGACCAGGACCTTTGGGAGGAAGCCGACCGAGCGTGTTTCCTGCTCCGGGGCCCCGAATGCGGCTCCAGGCACCTGCGGGGCTGTGTGCGTGGCGGGGGGGGGGGGAGTGAACACTCCCTGCCCTCGTGGTCCCTTCAGTGATTCCCGCTGCCCGCCTGCTGCTCTTACTCACCCCTTCCTCCAGGTGGGCGCCCCGGCATCGCTCCTGGCCACGCCCCGTGGTCACACTCCCTTGGCTGCCCCCCACATATCGGGCTCCCCTCACAGCTTGTCCCTGGGTGCACAATAGCACAAAGCCCCCTTGCTGCCTGCTCTGCTGGGCACTGGCCTCCCCAGCGGGCGTCCGGGTGGTCCCGCTGGGTCTTCGGGACCCCTCAGCGGCCAACCCTCTCAGGTGCGGTGCTCACTGGGTGGCGCTCACGGGCTCGGCCTTTCTCTTGGTCTCACTGTTAGGATCCGGGTGATGGCACGGCTTCTCCCCAGGCCTGGTGCAGTGAAGGACCCCAGGGTCTCTGGCCACCTGACGCCCAGAAACTCGAGGACGGATGCGTACGCTCCTGTCGCCTGGCGGCCCACAGTTGTGAGCAGGAGGCTCCCGTGGCTGGTGTGGGGACCGACCACAACTCCAGGCTGTGGCCGGCTGTGGCTGCACGACACAAGGCTGGAGCGAGTGTCCCAGGCTTGGGCCTCCTTGCTCAGGACCGGGCAGGGGCTGGTGAGGCGGTGCCCAGCAGGGACTCCGCGTGTGATTGTAAGAGCCGTGCTCACTGGAGTTTGGTTCTGGAAGAAGCTCGGGTGACGTCGCTAAAAACGCTCCCTGTTCCTCTGCCCCCTGGTGTGTGACGTTGCGGGCGCCGCAGGGCCTGGCCCCGTGGGCACCGCCTCCTGCTGCCCTGCAGCCCCACACCCTGCTCTGGGCCAGAAAGCCTGGGCAGGAGCTTCCTCCAGGCCCAGCCCAGCCCCCGCCTCGCTCCCCAGGTGCCCCTCCCCCCCCACCCAGAGCACCTGTGGGGGCTCCTACAGAGGATGAGCTCAGTGGTCACCCCAGGACACTGCTGACCTCACTGTCCCAGCCTGACACAGAGGCGCCCCAGGGGCCCTGAGCGGAGACCAGAGGCCCAGCCCTCGTCTTAGGCCTGATTTCCAGGGCCCGACCTCGGCCCTGCTCTGACCCTAGGCCTCCCTCGTGTTTAGAAGGGACCTCAGAGGTCAAGCTGTCACCTCGCCCCTCCTTCAGCCACTGCTGGGCCACTCCCAGTGACACTGGGAACTGACGGCTTAGAATCTGGCTTCCCTCAGGACCAACCCCGTGGCCCAGAGACCCCTGCCCCCTCCACAGCAGCCTGGCCTTTGGGAAAGAGAATGCGGTCCCAAGCCTGGACCACTGTGAGCCCCTCCCCTGCCCGGCAGTGTCCTGAGGCTCAAGTCTGAAACCCGCTCCCCCATGCCCTGGCTGTGGCCCCGCCCCCAGCTGTGGTCCTGCCCCTGGCTGTGCCCCCGCCACTGTGGCCCCACCCCTGGCTGTGCCCCCCCACTGTGGCCCCACCCCTGGCTGTGGCCCCACCCCTGGCTGTGCCCCCCCACTGTGGCCCCACCCCTGGCTGTGCCCCCCCACTGTGGCCCCACCCCTGGCTGTGGCCCCACCCCTGGCTGTGGCCCTGCCCTGGCTGTACCCCCCCCCCCCGTGTCCTACCCCTGGCTGTACCCACCCTGTGGCCCTGCCCCTGGCTGTACTCTCCCCGGCCCTGCCCCTGGCTGTGCCCCCCCACTGTGGCCCCACCCCTGGCTGTGGCCCTGCCCTGGCTGTACCCCGCCCCGTGGCCCTGCCCCTGGCTGTGCCCCCCCCACTGTGGCCCCACCCCTGGCTGTGGCCCCGCCCCTGGCTGTGGCCCCACCCCCAGCAAGGAGAGAGGAGCCTGTGCAGAGGAGGAAGCCGTGCCCAGGGTCAGGCTCGGAACCGTGGCCCCAGAGCCTCCTGCGCATCCCACCCGCTGCCCGCGGTGCTGCTCTCGGGCAGCTGCCCCAGGGGCCAGAGTTGGGCCCCTCCTCCCCAGACCTGGGCCTGCAGGGTCACGGCCCGCTACCTCACCCCTCCTTTTTTTTTTTTTTTTTTTTTAAGATTTATTTATTTATTTGAAAGGCAGAGAGAGAGAGAGAGAGAGAGAGAGAGAGGTCTTCCATTAGCTGGTTCACTCTCTAGATGGCCACAATGGCCGGAGCTGAGCTGATCCGAAGCCAGGAGCTTCTTCCAGGTCTCCCACGTGGGCTCAGGGGCCCAAGGACCTGGCCATCTTCCACTGCTTTCCCAGGCCACAGCAGAGAGCTGGATCGGAAGCGGAGCAGCTGGAACTCGAATCTGTGCCCTCACTGGCACTGCAGGCGGTAGCCAGAGGAGTCTGCCCACCGCAGGAACCCTGGCCACGTGTCCATGATCCCCACATGCAGCTCAGGGGAGCAGCCCGGGATCCGGGAGGAGACCGCCCCGTGTGCTTGGGGACGGATGCAGCGGGGGCGCGGGGCTCGGCAGACCACGGACTGGGGTGCACTGGACCTCAGCAGGGCCAGGACCAGTGGCGAGGGCATGGGACATGTTTGTCGCCTGCCTTTCTAGAAAGGGTTGGCCGCCCGCTGACCCGGGGCCTGGCTCCCGGCTTGCTACAAGCAAGGGCGGTCCTGGGTCTCTAATGGCCACTCTGCTGCCCGCTGGCTCCTGTCCAAGCTCCGCCCACCGGGGGCAGCAGGGCGGTGTGCCCTGGTCCAGCCTGCACCACCCTCTGCACAGCCTGGAGTGCGTGGGATCCCCACCCAGGATTCTGCTCCCTGTGGGCCTGCCACTGCCCTCAGCAGGAGGCCTCGGGGGGCACCCCCACAGCCGACCCCCCGCCCCCGGCTCTCCCAGCCACTGCTGCTTCGCTGTGACGAGGAAAGGCAGAAGGGACAGCGTCCGGTGGCCCGGCTTCCCTGCCCCTGCTGGAGGAGGAGGGACTCCGTCTCCCACCTGCCCGCCTCCCCACAATCCCCGCCCAGAGATGACGGTGTCCCCGGCCCTGGCCAGAGTCACGGGCGCGAGCCCAACCCCATGCTGAGCCCCCACTGCTCACCGAGAGGTCTCCGTGCGCCCTGATGTCCTGGGATGTGTCCTAGGCTCCAGCGATGGACAAACCAGACACCAGCTGGGGGCAGGGGTTCCCCCACCGTGTGTCCAGACAGCCCCTCCTGGGGGCAGCGGCTCCCCTGTCCTCAGCAACCCCTGCTGGGACCCCGCGCGTGAGGTACCCCGTTAAGGTCCAGGAATGCTGCCCCCCAGCCCTGTGTGTGGTGGGAGTGTCCTGTCCCCCCAGCCCTGTGTGTGGTGGGAGTGACCTGTCCCCCAGCACTGTGTGTGGTGGGAGTGACCTCTCCCCCAGCACTGTGTGCGGCAGGAGTGTCCTGTCCCCCAGCCCTGTGTGTGGTGGGAGTGTCCTGTCCCCCAGCCCTGTGTGTGGTGGGAGTGACCTGTCCCCCAGCCCTGTGTGTGGTGGGAGTGTCCTGTCCCCCCAGCCCTGTGTGTGGTGGGAGTGACCTCTCCCCCAGCCCTGTGTGCAGCGGGAGTGACCTCTCCCCCAGCCCTGTGTGTGGTGGGAGTGTCCTGTCCCCCAGCCCTGTGTGCGGTGGGAGTGTCCTGTCCCCAGCCCTGTGTGCGGCGGGAGTGACCTGTCCCCCCAGCCCTGTGTGCGGCGGGAGTGTCCTGTCCCCCAGCCCTGTGTGTGGTGGGAGTGTCCTGTCCCCCAGCCCTGTGTGTGGTGGGAGTGTCCTGTCCCCCAGCCCTGTGTGCGGCGGGAGTGTCCTGTCCCCCAGCCCTGTGTGTGGTGGGAGTGTCCTGTCCCCCAGCCCTGTGTGTGGTGGGAGTGTCCTGTCCCCCCAGCCCCGTGTGCGGCGGGAGTGACCTGTCCCCCCAGCCCTGTGTGTGGTGGGAGTGACCTGTGCCCCCAGCCCTGTGTGCAGTGGGAGTGACCTGTCCCCCAGCCCTGTGTGCAGTGGGAGTGACCTCTCCCCCAGCCCTGTGTGTGGTGGGAGTATCCTGTCCCCCAGCCCTGTGTGTGGTGGGAGTGTCCTGTCCCCCAGCCCTGTGTGTGGTGGGAGTGTCCTGTCCCCCAGCCCTGTGTGTGGTGGGAGTGTCCTGTCCCCCAGCCCTGTGTGCGGCGGGAGTGACCTGTCCCCCAGCCCCGTGTGCGGCGGGAGTGACCTGTCCCCCAGCCCTGTGTGAAGTAGGAGTGACCTGTCCCCCAGCCCTGTGTGTGGTGGGAGTGCCCTGGCCTCTTCCGTCGTATGTGAGCAGCAGGCCAGAGCGGCAGCGGGCAGGGGCGGTGAGGCTCCGGGGCTGAGGACGGGCAGGCGCCCTGCCGGACGGTGGTGCGAGGTGAGCAGCTTTCCCTGGTGGCTGCGGAGGGCAGCTGGGGCGGCCGCCGCCCATGGTCAGCACTCAGGGTCACCCCTGCTGTGGGGGTCACCCCTGCTGTGGGGGTCACCCCTGCTGTCGGGGTCACCTCTGCTGTTGGGGTCACCCCTGCTGTCGGGGTCACCCCTGCTCTCAGGGTCACCCCTGCTGTGGGGGTCACCTCTGCTGTCGGGGTCACCTCTGCTGTTGGGGTCACCCCTGCTGTCGGGGTCACCCCTGCTCTCAGGGTCACCCCTGCTGTGGGGGTCACCCCTGCTGTTGGGGTCACCTCTGCTGTTGGGGTCACCTCTGCTGTTGGGGTCACCCCTGCTGTCGGGGTCACCCCTGCTCTCAGGGTCACCCCTGCTGTGGGGGTCACCCCTGCTGTTGGGGTCACCTCTGCTGTCGGGGTCACCTCTGCTGTTGGGGTCACCCCTGCTGTCGGGGTCACCCCTGCTCTCAGGGTCACCCCTGCTGTGGGGGTCACCCCTGCTGTTGGGGTCACCTCTGCTGTTGGGGTCACCTCTGCTGTCGGGGTCACCTCTGCTGTTGGGGTCACCCCTGCTGTCGGGGTCACCCCTGCTTGGGTGGAGGCTGCTGAGGCCGCAGAGGCAGCTGCTCCCATGGAGATGGCGCCACGTGGGCAGCACTGCCTCCCACAACTCCAGGGCCATGGCTGGCAGCAAAGGGTCCCTGACCCCTGAAGTCTCCCTGTGCAGCCGGGAGGCCGAGGAGGGGCCTGTGGGCCGTGTCCAGCTGGGCTGGGCTCTGAAGCGGCTGCGGGCCCAGCTCCCCAGGCGCCCACCCTGTGTCCCTGGGCCTGGGGGAGCCGTGGGGCGCTGCCTCTGCTCCCAGCCCTTTGGGGCCCCAGGCCTTTCTGGAACCTTGTGGTGAGCAGAAGTGCCCACTGGAACGCATGCCCAGGCGCAGCCCTGGGTGTGAGCCCCCGGCCCCTCCTGCCCCTTCCTCACTGGGCTGCCCAGCAAGAGGGCGGAGGGAGGCAGCAGGCCTGCCCCAGCCTGCAGAGGGCTTCCCAGAGGAGGTGGCGTTGGGCTGGGCCTGCAGGGCCCGGGCTCCTGAGGCTGCTGCTCTCCTGCCTGGGTTCTCTCTGACCGGCTGCCCCACCCTCTGCAATGGTGCCGCCCGGAGCCCTGGGCACCCTGGGCACCCCTAGGCAGAGCACAGCTGGGGGCTGGCGGAGGGGGCCTCTGGATCAGAGGTGGAGCCAAACTGACACCCAGAACTCGAACCTGGGCATCCTCAGCGGAGCCTGAACTTCTGGGTCTAACCGTGACCCGCAGGTGCAGACAGGTAAGGCGCTGCTTCGAACACCCCTCCCCCCGACAGGGCTGCCTGGCCCTGGGTGTAGGCCAGGTCCTGGCACTGGGGCCGTCCTGGCCCTCAGGGGTGTGCCCTGGCCCTCAGGGGTGTGTCCTGGCCCTCAGGGGCGTGTTCTGGGCCTCAGGGGTGTGTCCTGGCCCTCAGGGGTGTGTCCTGGCTCTTAGGGGTGTATCCTGGCCCTCAGGGGTGTGTCTTGGCTCTCAGGGGTGTGTACTGGCCCTCAGGGGTGTGTCCTGGCCCTCAGGGGTGTGTCCTGGCCCTCAGGGGTGTGTCTTGGCTCTCAGGGGTGTATTCTGGCGCTCAGGGGTGTGTCCTGGCCCTTAGGGATGTGTCTTGGCTCTCAGGGTTGTGTCCTGGCCCTCAGGGGTGTATCCTGGCCCTCAGGGGTGTGCCCTGGCCCTCAGGGGTGTGTCCTGGCCCTCAGGGGCGTGTTCTGGGCCTCAGGGGTGTGTCCTGGCCCTCAGGGGTGTGTCCTGGCTCTTAGGGGTGTATCCTGGCCCTCAGGGGTGTGTCTTGGCTCTCAGGGGTGTGTACTGGCCCTCAGGGGTGTGTCCTGGCCCTCAGGGGTGTGTACTGGCTCTCAGGGATGTGTCTTGGCTCTCAGGGTTGTGTCCTGGCCCTCAGGGGTGTATCCTGGCCCTCAGGGGTGTGTCCTGGCCCTCAGGGGTGTGTCCTGGCCCTCAGGGGTGTGTCCTGGCCCTCAGGGGTGTGTCCTGGCCCTCAGGGGTGTGTCCTGGCCCTCAGGGGTGTGTCCTGGCTTTCAGAGGTGTGTCCTGGCCCTCAGGGGTGTGTCTTGGCTCTCAGGGGTGTGTACTGGCCCTCAGGGGTGTGTCCTGGCCCTCAGGGGCGTGTTCTGGGCCTCAGGGGTGTGCCCTGGCCCTCAGGGGTGTGTCCTGGCCCTCAGGGGTGTGTCCTGGCCCTCAGGGGTGTATCCTGGCCCTCAGAGGTGTGTCCTGGCCCTCAGGGGTGTGTCCTGGCCCTCAGGGGTGTGTACTGGCCCTCAGGGGTGTGTCCTGGCCCTTAGGGATGTGTCTTGGCTCTCAGGGGTGTGTCCTGGCCCTCAGGGGTGTGTCTTGGCTCTCAGGGGTGTATTCTGGCGCTCAGGGGTGTGTCCTGGCCCTTAGGGGTGTGTCCTGGCCCTCAGGGGTATGTCCTGGCCCTCAGGGGTGTGTCTTCCTCTCCCTGACCCCAGGCAGACCCTGGTGAAGCCTCAGGGGTCTCCTGCCTGGAGCATGGGGTGGGGGCGGGGCTGGGCAGGCGGGTGCAGTCTGGGTAGAGTCCTTGCTGCTGCCGGTGCCCCCACACCTCAGACCCCTGTTCTCCAGCACCCCTGCCATCTGGTCCCCTCTGCCTTCCAGGCCAGTGAGTCCCGGCCCCGCCCCCTGCAGGGTTCACAGAGTGAGGCAGAGTGGGGTCGGGGAGCCCTGGTCCTGGATGCTGGGAGCCCACTGAGCAGCAATGGTGGGCGCAGGGTGGGGGAGGAGGGCCGAGGGCTGCGGTTGAAGCAGGCCTCCAAGGCTGCCTTGAAAGGCTGGACACAGGAGCCTGGGGTCAGCTTTGCAGTTTCAAGGCCCCCCAGCTGCTGCTGGCTGGTGAGGGGCCAGAGGGAGCAGGTGGGGGGGCTGGAGGTAGGGGGGCCTGGTGGGTGTGTGGAAAGGAGGGGTGAGGGTGGACCCCCAGGCCTGGACACTGGGGGAGGCTTTGGCTCCAGATATGGCCACAGGTCCTGCTTTGGGCCTACAGACCTGGCTCAGTGGACAGGCAGGGGAACGGATGGACCAGAGCTGGGGGGTCTGGGGCTGCTGCACCCCTGCCCCGACCCCCACACGCTCTGCAGCCACCTGAGCCGGTTCCACGGCAGACCCGGGCTCAGAGGCAGGACGTCTCCCACTGGGCAGAAGCCAGGGCAGGCGGCAGCCCTGTGGGTGCCCAGAGCAGTGTGGCGGAGGCCACCAAACCCCACGGTACACAGGCACGGGGCCTCACACCTGCCCACCCCAGAACGAGCTCCCAGCCGACCTGGGCCAGCAGTCACACACTGAGCAGGCTCAGCGCTGAGCAAGCACCTGGGGACTCAGAGGCTGAGCACCCGCCCAGCACCTGCCACGGCCGGCGGGGCCACGGCTGCCCAGCACCTGCCACGGCCAGCGGGGCCACGGCTGCCCAGCACCTGCCACGGCCTGCAGGGCCACAACTGCCCAGCACCCGCCAAGGCCGGCGGGGCCACGGCTGCCCAGCACCTGCCACGGCCGGCGGGGCCACGGCTGCCCAGCACCTGCCACAGTCGATGGGGCTGGTGCCCGAGCACATGCAGTGGGCGGCAGGAGCTGGGTGGGAGCCAGGCGCACTGCCGCTGCAGCCACAGGTGGTCTCCAGAAAACTCGGCTCATCCGGCTGAGTCTGAACGCCCAGCCCCAGGCAGGGAGGCCCTGGCTCTGCCAGACGTGGCTTCTGGCTTTTCTCGGAGGGCAGGGGAGGGAGACTGGGTGCCTCCCCAGCGAGACCTTAGCCACCCCACCTGGGCCTGGCTGCACGGCCCCAACCCTGCCTTGAGCAGAGAAAGCCAGGCTCTGGCCACCAGACACCCCCAGCAGCTCTGCAGAGGGTGGGGAGGGACAGAGGGCCCCAGGAGGCCCCCAGCAGAAGGCCCGGGGCAGGGGGAGCCATCTGGGGAGGCGTGGCCGTGGCCTCTGAGCCACATGCTACCCCCTCCTTTCCCCCCATTCAGGTGTGGGCCACACGGGGGCCCTGGCAGGACCAGCTCCAAAGACTGGGCTTTATTCCAGCCCCAAAGCGCGGTGCAAGGGCTGGGTGTGGCCTCGGGAAGCCCTCGGGTGCCCCTTCCTGGGGTGTGGGTGCAGCGCTCCAGGCCTGTGCCTGGCTTGTCCCCCCAGTCCCTGCTCCCTGGGCAGCACCCACAGCCCTCAGAGTCCAGGGCCCATCCTGGGCTCCTTGCCACTGGTCAGGGTCCCCCCAGCCAGAGACGGGGCCCACGGGACTAGGTGAGGGTCACACACAGGGACTCGTGGCTCTTGCAGGCCTTGGCGCTGTGGGGCCGGCCCAGGGCGGACGCCTCCTGGAACTCCCTGGCCGTGTAGTAGTAGCAGATCGCGTCCAGGCAGCAGTTGGCGTCTGAGAGCTTGCTGGTGACAAAGAGGGCGTGCCTGAACACAAGCTGCACGGCGCAGGGCTGCAGGCCCATGGCCAGATGTGCCGTCAGCACCACGTGCAGCGGCAGGAAGCAGACCACGAACACCGCCAGGTTGGCCCAGACCATGCGGGCGGCCCTGCGGGTGGCCGCGCCCTGCCCCGCACTGGCGGCCGGGCTCCGGGCCAGAGCGGCCCCCACCTGCAGGGAGCAGAAGGCCAGCACGGCCAGCGGCGGGTAGAAGCCCAGCAGCGAGAACACGGACATGTGCTGCATGTGTCCCGAGCGGCTCCGGAAGCAGAAGCCGCCCTCCTGCACCCCCAGCAGCCAGCGCAGCCCCAGGGAGCCGGCCACCAGCACCCAGAGGGTCCCACACACGGCCACCGCCTGCCGCGGGGAGCGCAGGCCGCGGGCACGCAGCGGGTGCCGCACGGCCACGTAGCGGTCCACGGCGATGGCCGTGACCAGGCCGATGCTCATGTACCTGTTCAGCAGGTACACGGCCTGCGAGAGCTGGCACAGCGGCGTGTCCGAGGTGTGGTTCAGGGAGTACAGCATGAAGGGCAGGGTGCAGAGCAGGCAGAGGTCGGCCCCGGCCAGGTTGGTCATGTACACGCGGGCCTCCGTCCAGCCCCGCATGCGGCAGCAGAACACCCAGAGCGCCAGCCCGTTGAGCACCAGGCCCAGTACCAGCAGCAAGGCCAGGTAGGCAGAGAAGGTGTGCTCCAGCCACGGGGGCCACGTCAGGTTCTCAGAGCCGCAGGTGTCGTTCATGGTGCCGGGGCTGCAGGGCGGGGGGGAGGGGACGGGAGGTCAGCAGAGGGCACGACGGGGAGGAGCCCGGGCCAGCCAAGGCCCTGCCCCGGCCCGGGCTCCCCCGCCACCGCCCCAATTCTCCTTCCCAAGGACTTCTGGGAAGCTGCAAAGAGCTCCCAGCCAGCCCTGGAGCCCGGCCCCTCCCCTGGTGTGGTGGGAAGCCGAGACCATCAGGGAGGCTCCTCGGCGCCCCTGCACCCCTCTCCCGGGGCCCTGGGTGGCAGGCAGTGCCTGGAGCACGTGACCCCGAGCCCCCGCCTCGCCCGGCACGCAGCCCTCCTCAAGCGCAGCTCAGAGGCCCAGCTGTGGGCCTGGGCCCCCGCTGCCAGCCCCGGACCTGGCTGCAGGAGGTGCCTGTGTCCAACCCACAGGTGCAGGCCAGAACGGGACCAGCAGCAGGGGCTGGGGCTCTGGACCACTGCCCAGAAAACTCGGGAACCTGTCTCCCTCCTCCCTCTCTCTGGGGGACTGGCGGCAGGGTCCCAGCAAGGCCCAAGAGCCTCCCTCGGTGAGCACTGGGCCCCCCGGGGTGCCCTGCAGGGTGGTATGGAAGAGGGCTCAGCGGCCCTGGGTGGTCATTCTGCTCTGAGCCAGGAAGGACAAGGGAGCACCCCGCCCCTGGTGAGTCGGTGAGGGCTGGGCAGGCGCGCCTGCAGTCCATCAGGGAGGGGGCGTGGACCCTGGCCTGAAGCAAAACATCCCCCCAGGCCAGCCCGCCCGCCCCGGAGCGCCGTCTGCTCCGTGCACGCTGGGGGAGCACACAGCTCCCCACACGCGGGGGCCTCAGCCTTCCTCCTGCTGCCCTGGCCCTGAGGGCAGCAGACCTGAGGGCGGCAACCGCAGGGCGTCCCTTCCTGCCTGCCCTGCGCTGCCACGGTGCTGTGTGGCCCAGCGGCCCAGGGCCTGGGGCACCTGCCCAGGGAGCTGGCAGCACTGGCCTCGGGCAGGAGGGGGCTGCCTGGGCGCAGGGGGTGGGCACACCCACGCCCACTACTCACCCTCGGGTGCTCGGGCAGGTGTGGTCAGCAGGGTCCCTGGACCAGCCCCCCACCATGTGCACCACTTCCAATGGCCCTACACAGCCTGGGACAGCTTCAGTGCAGCCCAGTGTCCAGAGGAGAAAGCTAACCTTACACCTGTGCCCCGCTGACGGCACACAGGCCCCCGGGGGTGGACAGGACACCGAGGCTTTGAGGCAGTGCAGGTCCAGGGCCCCCCACCCTTGGAAATCCTCCCAACAAAGCTCAGGAAGTCGGGGGCGGGGGCATTTGGCACATCGGCTAAGGCTGCCTGGGACTCCACATCCCGGCGGCGGGTGCCTGCTGCAATACCACCTCCACTCCCGACGGCAGCAGCTCAGGAGCTCCCTGCTGGACGGCTGGGGACCCTGCCACAGCTGGGTTCAGGCTGGGGAGGGCCAGGTCCCCTGGGAGAGGGGACAGTCTCTCTGTGGGGCATCTGCCCACACCCCGCCAGGCAACGTGGGGTGGGCCAGGAAGTGGCTGTTTAACTGTCCACCTGCCCGGGGACTGTGGGGTGCGCGACCTCACCCCCACCCTGAAACTCCGCGCCAGAGCTCCTGTGTCCCCGCCCCGCCTCCGCAGTCACTTCCTCCAGAAGCCAGAAGACGGCAGCCAGCAGGGCTGGGGACAGCGCTTCCCCCGGGCACACGCACGGCTCGTCAGACACGAGAGGACTGGCCGGCGTGTGGCCCGGCAATTGGCACCTGGGGTCAGGGCCTGGCCCCAGCGTCCTGCTGACATGCGCTCTGGGAGGCCGAGGGTGACGGCCCCAGGACTCGGGCCCCCGCACCCACGGAGAAGTGGATGGAGCGCCTGGCTCCAGGAAGGTTCCTCCCTCCCTCTCTCCCTCTGCCTCTCAAATAAATAAAACAACCAAATAATACTTCTGCCTACAAGCTCAGGACGTCAAGTTCTAGGGGCCAGTCCGATGGCACGGGATCCCGGGGACTGGCGCCGGGAGCTGTCTCGGGATGTGGGCCCAGCGCCAAGCTCAGGAGGCGGCAGCTCGTCCCGGAGAGCCTGCAGGGGCCCCTGCCCCTTCATGCCAGCGGGGTGGGGGGAGTGCCTACCCTCCAGGGGGAGGAGCCCCCCCACAAGGCTTTCTTCCTGCCTGGCTGCCACTCCGCAGAGCCTGCCCTGTGATGCTGCCCCAGCCCTGCAGGGGGAGCCCCACACCCACCCACCATGGCCCCCGCCCCACCCATCTGCCCCCTAAAACAGAGGGCAGAGACTGGGGCACAGCCCCCATGCGGTGCTGCACTTGCTCCCCACAGCACCACCCCCTCACAGCCACACCCCAACTGCCCGACACCAGCCCTGCCACCAGCTCCCCGAGCTGAGACCCTCACAGCACCCCCACTGAGACCCTGGCAGCCCACCCCCACTGACCCCCTCACAGCCCCCACTGAGCCCTTCATAGCCCCCCCACTGAGCCCTTCACAGCCCCACACTGAGCCCCTCACAGCCCCCACTGAGACCCTCACAGCCCCCCCACTGAGACCCTCACAGCCCCCACTGAGACCCTCACAGCCCCCCCACTGACCCCCTCACAGCCCCCACTGAGCCCTTCACAGCCCCCCCACTGAGCCCTTCACAGCCCCACACTGAGCCCCTCACAGCCCCCACTGAGACCCTCACAGCCCCCCCACTGAGACCCTCACAGCCCCCACTGAGACCCTCATAGCCTCCCCACTGAGACCCTCACAGCCCCCCCACTGAGACCCTCACAGCCCCCCCACTGAGACCCTCATAGCCCCCCCACTGAGACCCTCACAGTCCCCACTGAGACCCTCACAGCCCCCACTGAGACCCTCACAGCCCCCCCCCGAGACCCTCACAGCTCCCCCTCTGAGCCCCTCACAGTCCCCCCACTGAGACCCTCACAGCCCCCCCACTGAGCCCCTCACAGTCCCCCCACTGAGACCCTCACAGACCCTCACTGAGACCCTCACAGTCCCCAGTGAGACCCTCACAGTCCCCACTGAGCCCTTCACAGCCCCCACTGAGACCCTCACAGCCCCCACTGAGACCCTGGCTGCCCCCCCACTGAGACCCTCACAGCCCCCACTGAGACCCTCACAGTCCCCACTGAGACCCTCACAGCCCCCCCCGAGACCCTCACAGCTCCCCCACTGAGCCCCTCACAGTCCCCCCACTGAGACCCTCACAGCCCCCCCACTGAGCCCCTCACAGTCCCCCCACTGAGACCCTCACAGACCCCCCCACTGAGACCCTCACAGCCCCCATTGAGCCCTTCACAGCCCCCACTGAGCCCCTCACAGTCCCCCCACTGAGACCCTCACAGCCCCCACTGAGACCCTCACAGTCCCCCCACTGAGACCCTCACAGCCCCCACTGAGACCTCACAGCCCCCCCACTGAGACCCTCACAGTCCCCCCCACTGAGCCCCTCACAGCCCCCACTGAGCCCCTCACAGCCCCTCACTGAGACCCTCACAGTCCCCAGTGAGACCCTCACAGTCCCCACTGAGCCCTTCACAGCCCCCCCACTGACCCCCTCACAGCCCCCCCCCCACTGAGACCCTCACAGCCCCCACTGAGCCCTTCACAGCCCCCACTGAGACCCTCACAGCCCCCACTGAGACCCTCACAGCCCCCCCACTGAGACCCTCACAGCCCCCACTGAGACCCTCATAGCCCCCCCACTGAGACCCTCACAGCCCCCCACTGAGCCCCTCACAGCCCCCACTGAGACCCTCACAGCCCCCCCACTGAGACCCTCACAGCCCCCCCACTGAGCCCTTCACAGCCCCCCCACTGAGACCCTCACAGCCCCCCCACTGAGACCCTCACAGCCCCCACTGAGACCCTGGCTGCCCCCCCACCAAGCCCCCCCCACCCCGCTAGTGGCACTGACCTGTAGGCAGCTGTGTCCCCCAGCCAAGTCGCTTGGTCTCTGCAGTCGGGATGGGGCTGTCCTGGGTGGGGCCTGGGGCAGGGCGGCCCTGGCTGCCCCTCCTCAAGGCCTCCGGGGCTCTCTGGGGGGCGGCGGGGTGTCGGCCCCGGTGCTGCTCTGGGGAGCCGGCATCCACGCTCTGGAGCAGCCGGAGAGAAAGCAAAAGCAGAGGTGGCTCGGCCCCGCCTGCTGCTTCCTGATGCCCAGCCCAGTTCTGGCCCTGCCCAGCATCCCCAGAGGCAGCCTGGTCCTTCTAGAAACTGCGGCCACCCGGCCCCCGGCGGGCACGGCACGCACACTGCCCACACTCAGGCAGACGGCGCCATGCCGCCTCCACACCCCCACCCTCCTGCACCCCGGGGCCGGTGGGTGCAGACCCACGCCTGGCCCAGCTGAGCCTGGCTGCCCCACTCCACTCCCGCTGGGAGAGCCCCCTGCCCCAAGACCCCTCCCTCTCTTCCAAGACACGAGGGGGCTCTGGAGAACCTGGTCCCACCTTGACTCCACCTTACAGAGTGGGAAACTGAGGCCCAGGGCCACGGTGATGCTGATCTGAGACAGCACCGGGCCCCGACCCTCAGCCCAGGGCTCCCCACCCACAGGCCCCCGGGCCTGGCCTTGACGCTCAGCTACCCCCACCCAGCCCCACCTGCTGGCTGTGCCTCCAGACCCAGGTCCTGCCCTTGGGGCCCACATGGGGAACCCCTGCACCGGATGCTGAGGGGGGAGGTGGTTCCTCTTTCCCGCCAGGGCCGTGGGCTTGGGTTCCCCCTCTCCACTCTCTGGGTGCTGCAGCCTCACAGCCAGGGGTGCACGCCCAGCCGGCCCACACCCAGGTCTGCCGAGAGTGGGGTCCTGCAGCCCCCTCCCCCGGGGGCCGCCCCCACCCTCCCACTCCCTGTACCCCTCCACACCCGGGCAGAGTCCACCCTGGACCTGGGCTCTGTCGCCTCTCTCTGGCTGCGTCTCCCTCTTCAGACTGCGACAGCTGCCCCCTGCCCCGGACGCAGTCGGGGGCTGCCACTCCCAGGCTTCAGGCCCACAGCTCTGCACGGCCGCCTGCCCGGGCCCCCCACCCCGCCCCAGCCTCTGTCTGTCCGTGGCCCAGCACCTCGCCCTGCTGGTTCTTTGTGTGTCAGGCTCTGGCCTGTGGGGCTGGCCACCGCCTGTGCCCGCTTGGGGGACTCCCGCCTGTGCCCGGCTTCTTGGCACCCAGCTGGGCTCAGGGACTGTCAGGCTCGGGGGGGAGAGGCAGCTGCTGTCCCTGCCGCCCAGGTGGCCCAAGAGAGGTGGGGGGCTGCCCAGGCCTTTCTCTCAAGGTTCTCTCAGGGACCCAGGGAGACCTGGCCCAGCTGGGCAGGGAAGGTTCCAGGTCAGGCCTGGCAGGGTTGTCACTGCTAGCACCGGGGTCACCACCCAGGACCCTTGTCCTAGCTGCTGTGGGACCAGCCCCTTGCTGTGGCCCGTCCAGCCCTCTCCGCCTCACGCCTGCCAGGCCCCCATCCTCAACTGCCCTGAGCAGGCAGACCTCGTGTGGCTGCCCTGCGGGGTGCCCATCCCATGGCCTCCTGATGACACCTGTGGGGGTGGCCCCCGCCCCGGTGTGGGGGTTTAGAACTCGGGGCTGCAGGGAGAGAATGCAGGACCCGGAGGACGCCAGGCCGAGGACATGGGTGCTCCACCTCCCGAGAGTGTGGACGCCTGTGGCCCCGCCAGATCCCCAGGCCTGTGCTGAGCACCCGTGTCCACAGTGCTGGGGCTTTTTATAAAAGATGCATTTGTTTGAAAAGCAGAGCGGGGGCCGGTGCTGTGGCGTAGTGGGTAAAGCCACCACCTGCAGTGCAGGAATCCCATATGGGAGCCGGTTCAAGACCCAGCTACTCCACTTCCGATCCAGCTCTCTGCTGTGGCCTGGGAAAGCAGCAGAAAATGCCCAAGTCCTTGGGCCCCTGCACCCACGTGGGAGACCCAGAAGAAGCCCCTGGCTCCTGGCTTCAGATAGGTGCAGCTCCGGCCATTGCAGCCAACTGGGGAGTGAACCAGTGGATGGAAGACCTCTCTCTCTCTCTCTCTCTCTCTCTCTCTCTCTCCTTCTCTCTCTGTGTAACTCTTTCAAACCAATAAATAAATATTAAAAAAAAAAAAAAGCAGAGTGACAGAGAGGGGGAGAGAGAGAAAGAACTAGATCTTACACCTGCTGGTTCACTCCCTAAATGCCTGCAGCAGCCAGGGCTGGGCCAAGCTGGAGCCAGGAGCCAGGAGCTCCCTCCGGGTCTCCCACATGAGTGGCAGGGACCCAAGTACTTGGGCCGTCACCGCTGCCTGCCCGGGCGCATGAGCAGGGAGCTGGGTCGGAAAGAGAGCGGCCAGGACTCAAACCAGCACGGTGACGCAGGACGCTGCAGGAGGCCAGCGCCCGGCTGACACTGCACGGGGCCAGCGCCTGGGTGACACTGCACGGGGCCAGCGCCCAGGTGACACTGCATGCGGCCAGTGCCCGGCTGACACTGCACGAGGCCAGTGCCCGGCTGACACTGCATGCGGCCAGTGCCCGGCTGACACTGCACGGGGCCAGTGCCCGGCTGACACTGCACGAGGCCAGTGCCCGGCTGACACTGCATGCGGCCAGCGCCCAGGTGAGACTGCGTGTGGCCAGCGCCCAGCTGACACTGCACGGGGCCAGAGCCCGGGTGACACTGCACGGGGCCAGCGCCCGGCTGACACTGCATGGGGCCAGTGCCCGGGTGACACTGCACGGGGCCAGCGCCCGGGTGACACTGCATGCGGCCAGCGCCCGGCTGACACTGCATGGGGCCAGTGCCCGGGTGACACTGCACGGGGCCAGCGCCTGGCTGACACTGATCTTCCTGGTGGTCCTGGCCATGACCCTGCTGTGCCCACGGTGCCAACGCTTTGCCCGTCCCGGTCATTCCAGCCGTCTTGGTGCACCTGTCCACCCTGCTTGGCACCCCAGGAGTGGGGTCCTCTGCTCACAGGCCCTGGGCCAGTAGGAGGGGCAGGGAGGCCTGGGCCAGCTCCGGGGTCTCCGGGTCACCCAGCCACGTCCTCAGCATCTGCACTTTCTGTTCCTCTCGCGGCAGAGTGAGGTCTGGAAGTGAGCAGGCTGCCGGGAAAGAGCCGTCCGCAGCCAGTCTGGCCCCCAGCCGCCGGCCTGTCGCTGTGGTCACTATGCTGTGAGGAGGGCGTGAGGGCGGCCCACGCTGTACCCCGGGCCCTCCTGGTGCCAGCTGACCGCAGCTCCCATGGTGCCGCCCCTGCTCTCCCTGAGCCAGGGCGGCCGGCACCCCTGCCCATACCTGGCTCATCTGTCACCCCACTTCCCAGGTCCCGTGGGAGCCCCTTCTTGGCCTCTGGTGTCCCCCATCATCCAGGCCCACCCACAACGGTGGAGGCGCCAACCTGGCTGCCTGGAAGACACCAGGGCCGCGACCTCTCTCCCATCTCCCTCTGCGGTGTGGCCCTCCCCTCAAGGGGCAGTCGGAAGCCCCAGGTGGTGGCCATGGCGACACTGAGACGCCGCTGACCTTGCCTCTGTGGGGCCTGGTATGGGAGAGCAGAGACACAGGCCCAGGCCAGGCTCAGCCGGACGCTCGGGGCCTTGCCTGGACCCCTAGCGTGAGGAGCACCCCCTCACCCCGGGAAAGGCTTCTGGAAGTGGCGGAAGCTCCGGTGCCCCGGCTGGGATCTGGGGCTGGGGAGTTGGTACGGGGTCCTGGCTGTGATGAGCAGGGCTGGACTCCCCCTCTGGGGTAGCGGGGTCTCTGGCCAGGACCCCCCACCTTTGTGGGTATTTGGGATTTTCCACAGCAGACAGACCTGCGTGTGCAGCTGCAGAGGACAGAGTTCGCTGGCAACCATGGGCAGGGGACGGGAGGGGGAGGTGGCGAGCTGGCAGGGGACATGGGGGTGGGGGGCTGGGGTCCCCTCGTCTTGAGGCTGAAGGCCCAGCCCACCCTGTTGCCTTCCAGGCACTTCCCAGGTGACCTGGGGGTTGTCTGTGCCACAGCCCCACCCTTGTCCCGAAAGCCCTTGGGGCTGGGCCACAGGAAGGGGTCCCGGGGCAGGGGCAGGGGTGAGGGCAGCAGACAGCACCTCTGCCCCCTGCCCCCTGCCAGAAGTCCCTCTGTGGCTCTCTTATCCCCTGCTGCCGACTCGGGCCGCACACACACTGGGCCACAGGCATGGGCTGCCCAGGTCCAGAATCCGGGGCAGGAGGGCAGGAGCCCACTCTGCGGCTGCCAGAGCCCTGGAACCCCTCCCACCGTCTGTTTCAGTGCACGGGGCCTGATGGACGTGTGCTGGTGGGGCAGCAGGCTGCCCGGTGCCTCGCCGGCTCCCTAGGCTGAGTGCAGGCGGGGCCCCGGCAGGCGGCTCTGGCTCCCCCCCCCCCCCCCGTAAGACCTCCCAAAGCAAGTTCAGCATTTCCCCAGAGCCCCGCAGGAGACCCTTGGCCCTGGCTGAAGCCGACAGAGGGGCTCCTGGGTCCCTTGCTGAGGGAGGCAGGAGGGAGAAGTCAGGACAGGATGGCTGAGGGTGTCTGGTCCCTAGGGGGTACTGAGGGGGCCCTGTCCTGTGCCCGCCCCCAGCAGTGAAGGCGGGCCCTGCCCCGGGACGCTGGGGGCAGCTTCTGCGGCCCCTCTAGGCGGTGCTCAGTGTAGATGGGGCTGGCCACTGCCCAGTCCCTCCCCTGGTGTGGGGCCCAGCAGGGCGCCCACGGGAAGACACTGCTCCCGCTAAGGGCGCGGGCCCACCCAGACCCCGAGCCTCAGCCTGGACAGCGCCCGCTCCCCTACTGGGGCTCCCCTGGGGCTGCCTCATGCCTGCCCCCACACTGCCAGAGCCCCTGGGGGCCCTCCCCGCAGGCCTCTGCCACCTCTCAGCCTCTTGTCCCTTTTGCTGACACCTGAATATGTCGTGAGCCCCCAGGCCCCCCCCCCCACCACCCAGGGCTGTGTCTGCCTGGCAGGGCAACCTCTGGCCTCAGCACAGCCCTGCTCCCAGCAGAGACCGCCCCTGCCCCCTCCTGTCCAGGGACCCCTCTTCCAGGCACCTACCCCAGCCCAGACTGTAGGTGCCTGGCAGGGGGAGCTCAGTGGGGGCCTGTAACCCCGGCTCCGC